ATAATATTCCACAGTGAGAATCTATAACAAGGTGTTGGTCTGCTGTTTCTTTCATCCTTCTTTTCTTTCCTTCCTCTTTTCCTTTCCTTCTCTTCCTTCCCTCCTTTTTTTTTGGGGGGGTGGCTAGGATCTCACTATATAGCCCAAGCTGGCCTCTAATTCTCCATCCTCCTGCCTCAGCCTCTCAAATGCTGGGATTACAGGGTGTCCCACGATGCCTGGCTGATGTGTTGTCATCAATGGCTTTTGGGTTATTTGCAATTATTGTTTCCCCATTATTATAGAGAGCCTCTAAAGCTACACAAAACCTCTCTTATACAACGAGGCACAGAGACAGCCCCGTCCAGCCATGGAAAACCTCAGTATCTTGGCAGGAACTGAGCCCTCCGGACCATGTGTCACTGCACTTGGAGGTGGGCTCTGCTGCCCCAGCCAACGCTCTGACCATAGCCTTGGAAACCCTGGGCCCCCAGACCCAGCTAAGCTGCAACCAGACTCCTGACCCATAGGAACAGGGACATAAGAAAAGTGATTTGGTGCAGGCGCTCAGGAGGCTAAGACAGGAGGATCATAAGTTCCAGGCCAACCTGGGCTATACAGAGAGACTCCATCTCAAAACACTAAAGACTAGGGGTGCAGTTCAGTGGCAAGCACTTGCCTAGTATATGCAAGGCCCTGGGTTCCAGCCCCAGAGCTGGAGAAAAAAAAAGTCATTTAAATTATTGTAGTTAGGGGGTGAGGGCAGGGGGGAGAAATGACCCAAGCCTTGTATGCACATATGAATAATAAAAAAAAAAAAAAGAGTTATTGAACACAAACCATTGGGGAAATTATTGACAGATTAAACCATATTGAAACTGAAAAAAAAAATAAAAATAAATTACTGTAGTTATCTCCCTTATCCAAGGCAGAAATATCCCAAGACCTCCAGTAGATGCCTGGAGCCTCAGGTACGACCAACCCTAGAAATTTTGGTCTTTTCTATACACACATATCTGTGATAAAATCTTAATTTATATCTTAGGCACTGTAAGATTATAGCAAGAATACTAAAACACAATCCATTGTAATAAATTTATATGAATGTGGTCTCTCTCAAAATAAATTATTCCCCCTTCTCCATGGCTCTAGGTAAAATGGGGCAGGTGCTACTGTATATATAACATGGGGCTATTTGTTATGTGGCAATAGCTAACTGATACACTGATGTTATATTGTTTCCTACTTTGATTGCTCACTACCTATTCCTTCTCCCTGAGTGCTTTCCCCCTTCTCCAAGAGGTGCACCCCAGTTAAAGTGCACGCTTCCATGGCACACACACCAAGCTACTTCATTTCTTCCATGCTTACTGTCTTCTAACACATCTAATAGTCTGGTTACTTACTGTGTGGGCTTCTTTCTGCCTCCCCAGGGGCTGGCACACAGTACAGGCTCAAACCGTATCTGCTGGCCTTGTGTTTCCCGTCCCTCACCTAAGTGCCAGCACTTAGCCTAACACTCACTGGCTTCAAGTCTCAGCTGGGACTGAAGGTTCAAGTTCCAGGTTCCTGAATTTGTTTTTGGGTACTGGGGTTTGAACTCAGAACCTTGTGCTTGCTAGGCAGGTGCTCTACCACTTGAGCCATGCCTCCTGCCCTTTTTGCTTTAGTTATTTTTCAAATAGGGTCTCATGGTTTTGCTTGGGTTGGCCTGGATAGATCCTCCTATCTATGCCTCCTGTGTCGCTGGGATGACAGGCACAGGGCACCACACCCTGGCCACAGGATGAGATGGAGTCTTGCTAACTTTTTGCCTGGGACAGTCAAACGTCCATCTCCACCTCCTGAGTAGCTGGGATTATAGATGTGATTCACAGTACTGGCCCCAGGTTCCTGAATTCTGATATTAGATTCCAAGTTTAGCCTCCAGGCTCTGGAATCCAGGTTCTAGAATCTGCCTCCCACCACCAAATTCCGGGGTCTGATCTGTCCTTCAGCCCACCCCCAGATCGAAACCCCAGAATATAGTATCCAGGCCCCAGAATCCAGCCCTCCAAGCGCCATAGCCCAGAACCCAGGCTCTGGGAGGTCTACATTCTGGAATTCAGGTTCTGGAATCCGGTTCCCCCGAGATCCAGGCTCCGGAATTCTGGGTCCAGGCTCCGGAATCCTGTCTTCCTGAGATCCAGGCTCCGGAATTCTGGATCCGGCGGGAGCCAGCAGCTGCTGTTGGGCTGAGTTTTTTGAAAATCGGGCGCCAAAATCCAGTGCTGGCCAGGGACAGCGGCGCCTGGGGTGGGTGGGGACCGGGGCTGGTCAGTCTGGGGTTCCAGGACTTCTCGTCCACGGTCCCACACCCCCGTATCCCAAAGCAGATAGCTTGCAAGAGGCCCCTAACTTTCTAGCGCCCTGAGGACAAGGGGTCCCGCGTTCGCATCCCGCCTAACACCATGCCCTGTTTCTTGGGGGAAGGGTGCCCAGACAGGTCGCAGACCGCCCCGTGCCTCAGTTTCCCGTCCTGGAACGGCACTGCTCTATCACCACCCCCACCCCCACCACTACCACTACCACCACGTGCCGAGGCCGCAGGGTGGACTGGCCAGCTCTGCGGGGACCTGGCAGTCAGCCAGCGGATCGGGGCAGGGAAGGGACACCGTGGACACAGCCGTCTCCTTCCCAGCCGCTCAGCGCCAAAATTTGAAAATCGCGGGACACCCCACAGCGCGCGGGGCGGCCTTCCCCACCCGGCGGCGCGCGGCTTGCTGGGACTTGCAGTCCAGTTCGGGTGGGGGTGGGGATGGGGTCTCGGGGGCGGAGCCCGGCACCCAAACCCCGCCCAGCGCCCAGGGCTGGGGGCGGGGCCCGCGGGGTTTTGGAGACCCGAGATCGCGGCGCGCAGGGAACCGCACGCCTGGGCGAGGGAACGGCGGGGAAAGTCCAGGAGGCGCAGAGGCAGCCAAGGTCCAACAGGGGCGGCGCTGAGCGAAGGGGGTGGAGGCGAGTGGGGTTCTGGTATTTGGGGTTGTTTTTTGTATTTTACATTACTGCCATTGTGGGAAAATGAAAGCAAGATCAGGCCCTTTATCTGACCTGCCTGGCTTCTAAAAGGCTGGAGAAGCCTGGTGCTGTGCTCACTCCTGTAATTCTAGCTATTCTGGAGGCTGAGATCTGGAGCATCTCGCTTTGAGGCCAGCCCAGGCAAATAGTTCGAGAGACCCCCGCATCTCCAAAATAACCGGAGCAAAATGGGCTAGAGGTGTTGGCTCGAGCGATAGAGCGCCTGCTTTGCAAGCCCAAAACCCTGAATTCAAAACCCAGTTCAGCTACACACACACAAAAGAAGAAAAAAATAAGGCCGGACAAAGAGGGGATAGAGTCCCTTGGCCATCCAGACACATGGGTACCGTGGCGCTGTCCCCAGAGTCCTCAGTGGGCTGCAAAGAGAATGTGATTTGTTGGGAGTCCCTGATTGACACCCTCCCAGGTGACATTAGATCTGCTAGAGGAAGTTTCGATTGTCATGACAGCAGGGGGAGGTGCGCCGGCAACGAATGGGTGGTGCCCAACGCACCAGACCAAACCAGAATGGATTCACTTGTGGTGGGTGTCATATAATCAAGTTAGTTGAACTTTAAAAAGGACCAAGTTGTTGGGCACTCATGGCTCACGCCTGTAATCCCAGCTACTCAGGAGGCAGAGATCAGGAGGATTGTGATTTGAAGCCATCCTGGACAAACTGTTCATGAGACCCAACCTCGAAAAAACCCATCACAAAGAAGGCTGCTGGAGTGGTTCAAGTGGTAGAGTACCTGCTTAGCAAGTGGGAGGCCCTGAGTTCAAACCCCAGTACCCCCCCATAAAAAAACCAAAGTAGGCAAGTTCCCCCAAATCCAAGAAATTCACAATAAATCCAAATGGCTAGTCTTCCAACCAGGCACGATAAGGAAGTCTCCCCGTTTAATCCTGTAAGGAAAGTACCTTTGACAGGAATTGCTAATAAAAGCCAGTGAGGGCTGCTGTCGGCTCAGTGGTGAGCCCTGGTCTGGCATGCTGGGGGGCCCTGAGTTCGTCCCCAGCACCACAAAAAAAAAAAAATCAAAAAACAAAATAAAAACTCATTCAACTCCATTTTTGGATATCTTGTTCTTTGATATCATTTTCTGGGACATTTTATCCAAATGACAACTGGTGCCTGGCTTCTTTCACCCACGTTAGTGAGGGGTTTCAGCCATCTTCAATTGTGATGAAATTCCAGGGACGTAGATAGGTCATATAAATGGGGAAACTGAGTCAGTAGTCAGCACTCCAGTGTCCCACAGTGGCTGAAGTGGGATTTTGCAGGCTGGTGGTAACTCCCCCCGCCCCCCATTTTATTTTTTTTGGTGGGACTGGGGTTTGAACTCACGGCCTCACACTTGCTAGACAGGTACTCTACCACTTGAGCCAGACCTCAGCTCTTACAATTCCCTTATAAAATTACTGTGACCTATAGTCCCCCCTTCCCTGCCCCCCACCCCCGTGCTGTAGAACATACAATTTATTTCTCCTTTCTAACTGTGTCTTTGTACCTGTTTTCCAACCTCCCTCTATTCTCCTCTCTTCGCTCCTTATGACTTCTAGTAATCACTTTTCTTTATTTAATTTTAATTTTATTTCATTTCATTATTGTGGTAGTGGGGATGTACCCAGGGCTTTGTACATGCTAGGCGAGTTCTCTACCACACCCTCAGCTTTATATGATCTACTCTTTGGTTTCCATGTACGAATGACATGCACGGCTCATTTGCATGCTGTCCTCCAGTTCCACCTGTGGCTCTTCAAGGAAGGACTCAGGACCCCCTTCAACAGAAGAGAGCTGGAGACTACAATTGCCGGCTTGCCGCGCGGGGAAGGCGCCGATGTACTACAACTCCCGGCGTGCACCGCGGAGGCGCAGCAGACGGACCACAAATCCCGGTGTGCCCCGCGCGGCGGCGGCGGCAGCGGGCGGCGGCGGCGCCATCTTTCGCGGCGCGGATTGAATGAGCGCGCCGAGCCGGGGTCGCCGTCGGGAGCCGCGCAGGCCGCGTGCCGCCGCCGCAGCCATGGCCTCACCGCTGCCCAGCCGCGCGGGCGGGCCCGCCACGCCGCTGTCGCCCACGCGCCTGTCGCGGCTGCAGGAGAAGGAGGAGCTGCGGGAGCTCAACGACCGCCTGGCACACTACATCGACCGCGTCCGCGCGCTCGAGCTCGAGAACGACCGGCTGCTGCTCAAAATCTCCGAGAAGGAGGAGGTGACCACGCGCGAGGTACGTGGGGCCGCGGGGGGCGGGCCGGTGTCCGGGGAGGGACAGGCCGCGCGGCGGGGACCTCGGGGGCTAGGTGCCGAAGGGCAAGCCCCGCCCACTGGGGGGTCCCAGAGATTTCGAGGACCCAGAGCTTGGGGTGCTGGCTGGACTGCTTGTGAACCCTCGAGGGCCATCTGCAGACTTAGCAAGCCTTCCCTCCCCAATGAGGGGTCTGAGAGACTCGGGGGCCCCTGACCCAAGGATGCAGACTGGTGGGCCCTGACCTCCTGGAGGCCCCCACGGTGTTTTGGGGAACCCCAAGAAAGGGATGCAAGCAGGGGGCTGTCCTAAGGAACTCCCAGGGATTTCGAGGGGTCCCCCAGGGACAAGTGTAATCCAGGCAGACCCTTCCACCGAGGGGCCCGAGGAGGTCTTGGGGGATCCTTAGCAAGGGGGACAGAGGAGGAGGGGCCTCCTGAGAGGTCCCCAGAAAATGACTTTCCCTGTCCTCCCATGGAAGGGTCTTCAGGGAATTTGGATTCACCCTGAGTAGGGGGCTGCAGTCTTGGGTGTGTTTTATTCTTACGATTCTAAGGAGATTTCAGGACACTCTGACCTAAGGTGGACAAAGATCTGAAGAGGGTTGCTGGTTTCCCCACAGGAAATCTGTGGGGGCCTTGGGTCTGGAACCCAAGGCTACAGGAAGGAGGGGAAGGCGTAGGTCTTGGATCCAGTGGGTCGTTTTGGGTTCTGGGCCCAGGGCTTCATGCAGACTGAGAGTAGGGATTGAAGAAGCCCCGCTCCCTTCAAGGGACCTGAGGGTGAGGCATCCAGGGGTCCTGGAGGGGACCCTGACCCCAGGGGCTCTGCTCCCCCTCATGCTGACCCTGGCCAGTCCAAGGGTAGGTCTCCAGAGAGAGGGTGCAAGGTCAGTGCCCACCCTCGGTCCCTGCTAGGGGGAGGGGGGCTCCTGGTCCCAGGTCACATTCTCAGAGCCAAGTGCTAAAGCGTTGGTTAGGAGGAGTTCTGACTTCCCCATCTGGAGAATGAGCGAGGAGATGGCCTTTTGGGAGGAGAGTGGACACGGTGGTGGGCATTTGGAGGAGCCACTTAACCTGGTGTGACCTTGAGCCAGTTCCTTAGCCTCTGGGTCTCGGTGTTCTCAAGCCCTCTTGGTACCTTTGAGGAGTGTTTGTCTTACAAAATGTAAGTAGTAAGACAAGGGACTAGAGCCAGGAGGAAGCATTCCATGGGCTTCTTTGTCCCTCTCCCAAAGTGTAGCTTGTGCCCTGAGGAAGATGAAAGATCCATGGTTGGTGGTGGCCACCTTGGGCTGCTTGTTAATGTTTATGACCTGGAACAGGCCACTCAGTTTTGGAGCCTCAGTTTTGCTTTCTGTCCATTGGGGACAGAAGTGTTCCTGCTCAGTGTGGCCACCTGCCTGGGTAGCAAAGCCACCCTCAGACACCAGGCCAGTTCCTGACTGGCAGACTGGAAGTGCTTCTTGTTGCTTTCCAGCTTCTTGTCCCTTGAGCCTTTGGGGTTGCTGGGCCTTGTGAGTGTGAAGGTAGCGTGCGTGTAAACACACACACACACACACCCACCACCACCACCACCACCACCACCACCTCCCCCAGGTGGGCAGCATTGGAAGTCTTCGTTTCTCAGCCTGTGAGCCTGATCAGAGTACAGGGATAACCTGGGGCTTAGGTGGGAACAAGGGAAACCCAGCAATGAGTAACACTGTGTCAACTGTAAAGCCCTGGGGTCCCAGTGCTGGGTGTCTGGGGACAGCTACTGGGGATGGCTGGCAATGCTGCTGAAGGGGATGGGACCTAGGACTGCAGCTGGGGACTGGAAGAGGAGGAGGGGGCTGGAGAGAGACAGCTCAAGAAGGACCTGGGTACATGTCACCTGACAGCAACTGCCTGCTTACCTGGTGCATTTGGCCTCCAGGGCAATTTGGCAAAGTCTGGGGACATGCGTTGTCACAACTGGAAGATGCTACTGGCATGGAGGGGGTGGAGACTGGTAGTGCCACTTGGCGCTGGCACACGGTCACTGTCAGGGTTGAGCCCTGGGGGAGATAAGAGATAGGAGCGTCTTCAAGAATGCTTTGAAGGGGCCTCCTGGGTGGAGGTTAGGCAGACACCCATGCATGCTCTGCACATGAACTCTTGCCTGTCATACTTAGGATCTCACAGAACTGGGCCCTGTATAGCAGAGTGACAATAGTTGGTAACTCTTTGGCATGTGGACAGTGCTGTAGCAAATCGCCATGTGCATCTGTGCCTGGAGAGAGGCTGTCAATGTGTGTATGTTGGGAGGGTCGCTGGGGGTGAGGGCAGAGCCGCCTTGTCCAGGTGGGAGGCTCCCTCCTGTCACTGTAGGGACCCTGCCAGCAGGTGTAGAATTCCCAGGAGGAAACTTGGCTTGACTCTCCTCCCTCCCCGCCCCTGTCCTGTAGCTGCTGGGGCTGCCCTGGGACAGGGAACTCTGGGGCTGGCGTGAGGCACAGTGTGGAGGTGGCAGAGCCTTCTAACCCAGTGCTGCCATGCCGTGCATCTGTGTGACCCAGGGAAAGGCCATCTTGGGTCATGTGAAACTGCCACCCTGGGGCTGCCGCATACGAGCACATGTCCAGATTCCTAAGGCTTGGCACTTACACAATGCAATGAAAGGCAGAACAAAGCCCTGAGCAGGGACCACCGGTCCCTGTACTGAGGGGCCTTGTGAAGTAGCCCGCTGTCATCACAGTGCAATGTGCCCTGGGAGGGGCCAGAGAGGCATTGCTTTCTGCTCCGCCAGCCCGGCAACCTTGGCTGGCTCTGGCACTCAACTCTGTGCATGGGATGGAAGCTGCCCTGGATAACACCCAAGGAAATGAACAAGGCTGTGTGCCAGTAAAACTTAATTTATGTGCACCAGAATGTGAGCTTCCTATAATTTGCCTTAGTTACAAATAGTCTTACCTCCTTCCCCCTAATGCCCAGCCAGTGAAAAACACAAAAACAATTCTGGACTTGGATCCACAGGTGTCCCGTGGCCGGAGTTTGCAGACCTGGCTGTGACCAGACAGGCATCTAGCAACATCCTCAGTTCATTCAGATCCTTTTCTGTCCTGGGACCCCATCCAGAACTCACACTACATTTGTCATCGATGTCCTCAGGCTCCTCTGGGCTGTGACTGCTTGCCAGACTTTTGATGTCTCAAACACTCAAGACCTGTCAGGGTTTTTGTAGAGGGCCCTTTGGCGATTATCTGATGTTTTCCCCACGGTTAGATGAGATAAATAATATTTTAGTTACTTAAATAACCAAAATTAATACAAAAAGTCCATTATGTGTAAAATATGAAAAATGTGAACGCCTCATATGATCTCAGGGTTGCTCGTTTTTCCATTGGCCATGCATGGGTTCCAGCACACTCAGTGCCGAGTTTGTGTTCCTTGAGACTTTGATGTTTTACTCCTGTGGCATGGTGAGGGAAGTACAATAGAAAGAACCCCAGAAGACAGTTTGTGGGGGCAGGAGGTCTTGCTAGTGATACCCTCTGTGTTAGCTTTCTGCCTCTGTCATGGAGCACCTGAGAAAATTCACTTAAGAGGAAAGGGTTATTTGACTCAGTCTTGGAAGTTCAGCCTGTCATTGCTTTTGGATGCATGGTGAGGCAGCACAGCATGGCAGAAGCAACTGTGATCCCACCAGACCCGCCTCTTAAAGGTTCCACCACCTCCCGGTAGTGCCACGCTGGGGACCAAGCCTTCAGCACATAGACCTTTGGGGGACACTCCAGATCTGAACCATAGCACCTTCCTCATGGTGCCTTATCAAACTCTACCTTGGGCTGTGAGGAGGTTGTTTGGGGGACAGGGGAAAGAGGTGCATGCCTGGCTTCCTGTCTCTGAATTCTGGACATTTCCTGTCAATGGAACCACACTATATGAGACATTTGGGGTATGGTACTCTCTGAGCACTGTGTCCTCAGGGTCTCTCCACGTTGCGGCGTGGATCAGAGCCTCTACCTGTGCAAGCTGAGCCATGCTCCAGCGTGGGAATGGAGCACACCATGTGTGTCTGTTCACTCACGGGCTGTGTCCACTCGTGGTATGTGCGTAGTGCTGCTGTGGACGTTTGCATACAGGTTTCTGAATGGTTCTCAGTCACACGCCTAAGCATGGATGTGCTGGGTCAGATGGTGACTCCCTTGCTGCCCTTTGGACTTGTCACTGGGCCACAGGCCATGTTTGTGGTGCTGCCATGCTGTCTTCTGCTGTGTGAGGCTCCAGATTCCATCTGCTCACCTGCACCTGTGCCTGTCTGTCTCTGACTAACGTGCAGTGGGTGCGAAGTGCATCTCTGGGTTTGCTGCCACATATCTGTAAACATGTTAAGCTCATAGCCCTGTGCACCAGAAGGGGAAGAGAGGAGGACGTGAAGGCCAGCAAGAAATACAAGTCGTACTTCCAGCTGGCATGTGTGCCTGGGACAGGAACAAGTGGCACATGGGGAGGCCAGGCAGGTGGCAGCCGTGGTCACAGGAGGATTGTTAGGGACTGATGGGGTGCCTTCAGAAGGCTATGTGTCCCCAGAGGCCCCTTGCTAAGGACAAGTATGGGAGGCCCAGCTCTTAATTACCAACTGGGTTTTGAGCTCATCATGGCTCAGGGAGGGGCTTTCCCCTTCCAGATATCCCTGGATACCCCTGGCTTTCCCAGCTGCTTCCCCCAGCCTTCATTGTGGGGCCCATGCTCCTCTGTGGCCAGGTGGGGAGCTGCGAACTCTGGCCCCTGGCTGCAGCCAGTGAGGGAGCAGAGCTTGGGCCCACCCTACACCCTACTCTAGAGAGGCTCAGACCCCTATGTGTGCAGGGTGAGGCTGCTTTCACTTCCAGGTAATGGGAGTGTCTGGGTCCAAGCAGTGTAGGCAGGGACGGCTCCCTCACAGCCCCACCATAAAGACTGTAGGTTTTGGAGAAAAGGAAACATTGCACTAGATCAGTGGTCCTGAACTAGGGCAGTGGGACCCAAAGCAATGTCTGGGGACACGTGACTATCACTACTGGGTGAGCAGGCATTTGGCAGAGGTCAGTGATGCTGCTCAGTACCCTGCATTCTAGGGAACTCGCCCAGTGTCCACAGCACAAACGGGACATCTACTGATGAGATGTTCCCACCACATTTCTGGCTTCAGGGGCTAGAAACATGGAAAATGTATGTGACTTGTGAGGGACTGAGTGTCCAGGGGTGGCTGGGCCTCGCCATCCTAGGAGGCTGGGTGCAGGCCTGCTCTGTGGAGGATAGAGACTCACCCAAGGCAGATGTTCTCAGGGTCACAGCAGGACCTTGGGCTGGGGCCTGCAGAGGGGAGATGGATCTTGCTAGGAGAGTTCATTGATCCTAGGAGCCAGGGTGCCCTGCTTCCTCCCGCCTGGGCTGCCTGTTCCTCACTGCCTCCTAGCCCAGGGGCTTTCTGTGCCCTAAGTGGGTGATGAGGGGTGGGTGTGTCCCCAGGGCATCTGAGTCACTGTGCAGCCACGGTCAGCAGGTGAGGTGTCTCAGCTTTCAAGTTGGACTGTCTCCCCAGGTGAGTGGCATCAAGGCGCTGTACGAGTCGGAGCTGGCCGACGCCCGGCGGGTTCTGGACGAGACGGCCCGGGAGCGCGCGAGGCTGCAGATCGAGATCGGGAAAGCAAGAGCCGAGCTGGATGAGGCTAACAAGAGGTAGGGGCCAGGGCTGGGCGGCCACTAGGAGCCACTCTGGGAGCCCCACAGGCTCGTGAGACAGGCCAGGAAGTGCTTGGAGGCCAGTGGGTGCTCTTGGGCTTTACTGCCTCTCAGTTCAGGTGTCGAGGGACAGGCACCCTGGGGTGCGTGTGTGCACACCAATTCAAGCCCAGTGGGTGCTGGGGATGGCAGTGAGACCCTTCCAATGCGAACCTTTGTGGGTGTTTCCCCGTCCTCAGGTGTTCTTTGTGATGAGATTATGGGGATGTGTGCAACCAGGGTAGTCACAGGACATTTAAGCTGCTCCCATTCTCTGCGATGGCCCCTTGGGGTGACAGGTAGGCGGTCATAAGCCCTCACCTCCGTGGGCTTACAAGGAAATGACCTGTTTCTGGACGAAGTGCTGGGTGCAGTGTGTTTTGCACAAGATATGGGGACAGGTTCTGACACACCAGTAACACAAACGGTGACTGGATACCATTCCTCCTTTCTGTGACTGTGGCTCATTTATGTCTCCTGTGTTTTGCCTGTGGACCCCTTCTTCACCCACAGTGCAGGTGCCCTTGGGTCCCAGAGGGCAAGAAGAGCGCCTCCCGTGCTCTTCCCTCTCAGAACTGCTTTTCATGGCCTTCCTAGCCAGGTGCCCCTGCCACCCGGTGTGGAGTGGCAGCCAGTGATCTGTAGAAGCACTGCTGGGAGGCTTGGAATCCATGTGGTGACCGTGTTGGGGTAGAGCAAAGTAGTGGTCTGGGCCCTACCTGCCCAGGACTGCAGCCTTCACGAGGACCACAAGCTGGGGAACTCGGGGACCAGGAGTGAGTCAGAGCTTGACCTTGGCACATTCCATGCAGGCTTCCCCCAGCCCTTGATGGCCCGGCCTGGTGCCAGCCTGTCTGCCTCCTGCGCACCTGCTTTGGGCTTAATAAGCAGGTGCATAGCCACTGTGGCCTGAGGGTGTCTGTAGGTGCTGTGAAATGTCAGCATCCCCAAGTGCAGACTGCATAGGATGAAGGTGGCACAACACAGGAGGCCATCCAAATGCATTCATGCAGTCCACTAACATATTTAGTGTGGGGCTACAAGAGAACATTCTTTTATGTTACATGAATTCACCTCAGTTAAGTTTTTTCTTGGCAGTGCTGGGGGTGGAACCCAGGGCATCACATGTGCCAGGCAAGCCCTCCCCACTGAGCCATGCTCCAGCTCCAGTTCTGGTTTTTTGGTGGGTGTGGGGGGTGGCAGTTCTCAGGTTTTGCATGCAGGGCCTCATGCTTGTTAGGCATGCACTCTACCACTTGAGTCACTCCACCAGCCTTTTTTTATGTTGGGTATTTTTGAGATAGGGTCTTGAGAACTGTTTGCCCAGGCTGGCTTTGAACTGCAATACTCCTGATTAGCTAGGATTGCAGGTGTTTGCCACCAGTGCCTAGCTTAGTGCCCAACACTCTTAAAGATGGGCGCCAAAGCCAGTGGAGCCAGAGCCTTGCTCTGTGCGGTGCTGTGCAGCTCATAGAACCCTAGTGTTTAAAGCTGGTTAGGAATTTTCTAGGCTCCTCATCCATCCCCCTGACCTGCTGGTCGCCCAAGGCCCTTGCACTGCTGGGCACACACTTTTCCCAGAACTGATCATGTGAGCCTATGCCTGCCTGCAAGCTTCTGAGGTTGGGGGTCACATCCTAGAGTCCTTGCTAGAGTGCTCACATGCCCTCCACACAGCTGCACTTGATTGTTACTGGATGGCATCTGTACCCCCAAATGATCTCTCCAGGGGTGTGCAGTCCTATGACTAGAGCAGCCGGGCTGTGCAGCCTGAGCTGGGTGTGGCTGTCTGCACCCCAAGTCCTTCTGTGGAGGCCGGTGCAATGCCTGGGAATAGGCCTGTGATTCCTTAGGGCCATTGGCAAGGACATGATCAGCTTTATGCTATAGTCACCAGCCTTTACCTCATGTGAGCTGACACAGGGCCATCCTGGATGATGTCTGGGGACACCTATGGTTGTCTGGGGAGCTCCTGGCATGAAGTGGCTGGAGGGCGGGAACATTGCTCAGCACCCTGTGGTGCCCAGAACGGCTCCCCAGAGTACACCCCAGTCCTGTGTCCACAGTGCTGAGGGCCCCCGTGTCCCCGCACTGCTTGAGAAGATGTAGTTCTTGGGGAGGTTTCAAAATCTAGCTAAAAACGTTCAAGAGCCTGAAGGCCATACTGTTAATGTTCGTGTTTCAAACACAGCTCAGGTTTGTCTCGAATGTTTAACATTTGGTAGAAATACCAGGTGAGGCTGCCTAGATAGCTTGTTTACAAACAAGGCCAATCTTTCAAAGGCAGGGTTTTTTTCTTGGAACTTTAATAAGCTGTATGGTAATTTTGTGCCCAAGTCTCACAGGAGAGGGGACAGCAAAGCCCCTGCTCAAGCTGACTGGAACACGGCAGGTGTGGTGGGGAACTGTGACCCTGAGAGTCATGGCTGTGCTATTCTGTGGGACGTCACAGGACAGCATCTGTATCTGAGAGGCCCTGAGGGTCAGAGATGACTTAGTTCTTGACCTTCCTTGTGCTGCCCAAGGGACTCTCAGTGGCCGATGGCCACTTGCTTTTCCCTCATGCTTATCTCACCTACTTCACTTCCAGTGCCAAGAAGAGGGAAGGTGAGCTCACTGTGGCCCAGGGCCGCGTGAAGGACCTGGAGTCCCTGTTCCATCGCAGTGAGGCAGAACTGGCTGCAGCCCTCAGCGACAAGCGTGGCCTAGAGAACGATGTGGCAGAGCTCCGGGCCCAACTGGCCAAGGTAGTGGCCTGGTGCCGCCAGGAGACCTCAGCATGTGACAGCACAGCATGCTGGGGGATGGCACGGGTGCAGGAGCTGTGGGCCAGGGGTTGCGCCAGTCCCTGCAGGATGTGTGCAGCAGACAGACCTCAGCTTGCTGTCCTGTTTTCCCCAGGCAGAGGATGGTCACACAGTGGCCAAAAAGCAGCTGGAAAAGGAGACGCTGATGCGTGTTGACCTGGAGAACCGTTGTCAGAGCCTGCAGGAGGAGCTGGACTTCCGGAAGAGTGTATTTGAGGAGGTGAGTGGCCCAGCATCTCCACACCAGAGTGTGGCAGAGTTTATCTTCCCCAGATCTGCAGCCCAGGGGCCAAGACCTAGGTCTGCAGACTGTGTCCTCTGAGGCTCCAGGAAGCTCCTTCCTGCCTCAGCCAGTGTCGGGGGCTCCTGGCACCTCTGGGCTGTGGCTCCAGTGTCTGTCTCCTCATCCCTCCCTTGTTCTGTATGTCTAGTAAGAATGTCTGCCATTGCGTCAGGGCCACCCGGGTAATCTAGAACGTCCTCTCAAGATCGTTAATTTAATCACGTCCGTAAAGACCTTGTTTCCACACAAGGCAGTCGTAGGTTCTGGGGATCAGGGTGTGGATGTGTCTTTTGAGGGGCCACCGTTCAGCCTACTTTAGGACCTCCTCTCAAAGGGAAGGGTAAGGCCTCCCTAGCCCCACCTAACCCTGGTTCCAGCTTCTTGGCGTGACTGCATATGGCTGGAGTGACCAGGTCTCAAGCAGGTTGGGACCCCATGCCCTTTAAGGTGGGGACTGTGCTGTGGGAGCCGGAGCTTATGGCATCCTTGTGATCTGGGCTATCATAGAACCCACTGTGCTGTCATAGCCCAGGATGGAATCCTTGGGCTGGGCTGCTTCATATCATTGCTTAGGGAGAGCTGCCAGCTGGAAGGATGCCTGTGCAGCAAAGGAGCCATGCCCGTGGCCTGCCGGGCCTTGCCAGGGTGCCAGCCACAGTGAGGGGACCTCTGAGGGAACCCGGGCCTGGGAAGAGAGTCATGAGGGGTCCTGAGCCTGGGAAGGAGCCTATGAAAAGAGTCATGAGGGGGCCTGAGCTTGGAAAGGAACCTGTGAAGAGAGTCTTGAGGGGGCCCAAACCTGGGAGGGGACTCAACACTGTAAGGGGACCTGTGGAGAGACCCCTGGGAGAAATTATTAGGAGACTCCTGGGAGGGGGGCCCTTGAAGAGACCCCCAAGGGATGCTGAGAGGAACCCCACAGCATGCTCCGGGAAGAGGGGCCCCAAGAGGAACTCTCGGAGGGAGTCAGTGCTGGCTGTGCTGCGGGGAGGCACCGAGCGAGGCTATGGGAAGGTGGGTATGCTGCCGGGGCTCAGCCTGGGCAGCCACAGGTGCACTGATGGTGCAGGTGGCTGGCTGCCTGAAGAAGCAGCCCTGTGGGTTCTGTGTACTGCACGTGGTGACAAGGGACCAGACTTCTGTGCTGGAGTAGGTTTGGTAGAGTAAGGGGAAAGAGTTCCTTCCTATGAACTGGGAGCTGTGCTGTCTCCTCTCACATGCTTTTGACACCACTGTGTGCCTGCTGGCCCTGCTGGCCTGGGCATCCCATCACTGTCCCTCCACTGCCCTGAGAGTGGCCTGTCAGTAACTCATCTTTTGTTTTGTGTTGCTTTTGTTTTTGCAGCACTGGGGTTTGAACTCAGGGCCTCATGCTTGCTAAGCAGGTGCTCTACTGCTTGAGCCACTCCAACAGCCTTTTTTTGTGTTGAATATTTTGGGATGGGTTTCACAACCTATCTGCCTTCCAAGTTGTTGGGATTACAGGTGTGAGCCACTGGCCCGTGGCTTTTTTGTTTGTTTGTTTTTTGCAATACTGGGGATGAGATTCAGGGTGTGGCATTGTGACATATGAACCATACCTCAGCTCAGTAACTCAAGAGCTGTTATAAATGACATGCAATCCCCATGCCACAGAGCTCACCTCCTAAAGTGTACAGCTAGGTGTTTGTAGGATCTTCACTATCAGCTGTTAGTCCTGTTGATCCCAGAACATTCCAGCCCCACTCCAGCCCCTGGCACCAAATCCGCTTCCTGTCCCTGGATTCTCCTGTTCTGGACATTTCCTTTCAGTGGAGTTACACGCTGAGGGGCCTTTGTGTCTCTCACTGAGCACAGTGTCCTCAAGGTCCCTTAACGTTGTGGCATGGATCAGAGTCCTGTCCTGTCCATGGCTGAATGATGCTCCAGTGTGGGGTTGGAGCATGGTGTGTGTTCCTTTGACCGTGGACACTGAAGGGGTCTTTGGGGGTCAGGAATGGTGCTGTGTGGACATCTGTACCAGTTGATGAATGAGTGAGTGATGGGGAGGTGGATGGGCTGGGGCTTCCTTGGGTTGCTGTCAGCTGTGCAGTGGCATCACCCTGTCCCCTGGCAGGAAGTGCGGGAGACACGGCGGCGGCACGAGCGGCGCCTGGTGGAGGTGGACAGTGGTCGACAGCAGGAGTATGATTTCAAGCTGGCGCAGGCGCTGGAGGAGCTGCGCAGCCAGCACGATGAGCAAGTGCGGCTCTACCGGCTGGAGCTGGAGCAGACCTACCAGGCCAAGCTGGAAAACGCCAAGCTGAGCTCTGACCAGAACGACAAGGCGGCCAATGCAGCCCGTGAGGAGCTCCAGGAAGCGCGCATGCGTGTGGAGTCCCTCAGCTACCAGCTCTCAGGCCTGCAGAAGCAGGTGACCCTGAGCCCCATTGGTCTCTGTCCCACCTCTGCCCATGCAGGTCCATCTCCTGCTTGTCCTGAGTGGGCAGCCAATGAAAGATGCCCAAGATCAGCCAGGTTCCAGTAGCTCATGCCTGTAATCCTAGCTACTTGGGAGGCTGAGAAGAGGATTGCGGTTGAAGGCTAGCCTAGGCAAGACCCCATCTCCAAAATAACTATAGCAAAATGAACTGGAGGTGTGGCTCAGCGGTAGAGCACCTGCGTTGCAAATGAAGCCCTGAGTTCAAACCCCAGTCCTGCGTCCCCTGCTCCACCTCCAAAAAAAAATGAGGCTTAAGATCAGGTGTGTCTCATGACTTCAGGCCGTGTTGACCAGGCCATTACCTTCCGCAGGCCAGTGCCGCTGAGGACCGCATCCGGGAGCTGGAGGGTACCATGGCTGGGGAGCGTGACAAGTTCCGTAAGATGCTGGATGCCAAGGAGCAGGAGATGACAGAGATGCGTGACATGATGCAGCAACAGTTAGCCGAATACCAGGAGCTGCTGGATGTCAAGCTGGCGCTGGACATGGAGATCAATGCCTACCGCAAGCTGCTGGAGGGCGAGGAGGAGAGGTGGGCGAGGGCAGGGCAGAGGGCAGGCAGCTGTGGATCCCAGGCCTGTCTGCTGTCCTTGGCTCACCAGTCATACTGTCCACAGGCTGAAGCTGTCCCCCAGCCCATCCTCACGAGTCACCATCTCTCGGGCCACATCGAGCAGCAGCGGCAGCAGTAGTGTGTCTACTGCTGGCCGGCTGGGCCGCAGCAAGCGCCGGCGGCTGGAGGCAGAGGAGTCCCCGGGCAGCGGCTCCAGTGGCATCGGCTCAGGCAGCAGTAGCAGCAGCAGCAGCTTCCGCTTGGCCCAGCAGGCCTCGGCCATGGGCAGCGTGAGCATCGAGGAGGTGGACCTGGAGGGCAGGTTCGTGCAGCTCAAGAACAACTCTGACAAGGTAAGCGACCACGGTCGGGACAGCTGGGGCTGTGCAGCACTTGGTGCTGTGGTCCTGGTGGCCATGAGTCAGGCATGTGTCTGCCCTTCTAGGACCAGTCCTTGGGGAACTGGAGGATCAAGAGGCAGGTCCTCGAGGGTGACGAGATTGCCTACAAGTTCACACCCAAGTATATCCTGCGGGCTGGCCAGACGGTCACGGTAGGTGGCAGCAGAGAAGGGCAGGTGGGCGGAGGGTGGCTGCTGGTGGACAAACAGTGGGCTAGTCACGGGACTCAGCTGGGGCCCTGCTCTGAGACAAGCTGCTGCTGCTGGGAGCAGGCATATGCCAGCCTTACCCCTTGGGGCCTCCCTGCAGCCTCAGTGATGTGTGAAGTGGTCTGAGTCCTGGCCATCCGACTGGTGGTAATTGGCAAAAAGTGATCCACTTAGGGTTGTGGAACCTGGAGCCCAAGGGGCTTCAGATAAGCTCAGCCCGTCATGGCCAAGAGCCCTTGGCCATTGTGAACCTCAGTTTCTTCATCTGTATTCTGGAGCAAGGCCCAGGAAGGCGGGAACATCGAGGGCATTGAAAGGCTGTGTGGAAGGGGGCTGTTCTCTGGCCCGCTTCCTCTGCACCAGATGACTGGTGGGGTGTTCTTGGACCTTAGGTATGGGCAGCTGGTGCAGGGGTAACCCACAGCCCCCCATCAACGCTTGTGTGGAAGAGCCAGAACAGTTGGGGCTCAGGCGAGAGCTTCCGTACCGTCTTGGTCAACTCTGATGGAGAGGTGGGCATGGGACCGCCTGGACAGGGAGGCTGGGAGCCATTGCAGGCAGCTCTGGGACTGCTGGCGAGTGAATCTGCAGGTGGGGGGCTGTGACCTGGCAGTGACCCCAATGTGAGTTGCAACCTGGTTGGCTCCTCTTGCACAGGAAGTGGCCGTGAGAGCTGTGAAGCAGTCCTCTGTGGTGCGGGAGAACGAGAATGGTGAGGATGAGGAAGAGGAAGCTGAATTTGGCGAGGAGGACCTTTTCCACCAACAGGTAGAGAGCCAGTGGAGCTGGGGTGCACATGCATGATCACATGCACCCCACATAGGCATATGCACACAAATACACATACAAGCTGCACTTACTTTATCTCAGCAGGATGCCCACAGGCTGTGGGGTGAGGCACCGTTAGACAGGCCTTGGCTGGGAACTATTTTTGCCTCTCATGTGCATTTTATCATGTCATGGACCTCAAGGTGGCTGGCTTGGGGGTCCCTAGAAGATCTAGTTCAGACAGACCTACGCCCCACACACATACTCTATTGGCACACTGCCTCCAGGTCAAGCTGCTGGTCACTCAGTGGCCTTGGGGGCAAGCATGGAGGCCAGCTCACAATGGTCTAGGGATTGAATGCAAGGCTGGTGACCTGGCCATCTTGTCAGGAGCCAAGTCTCTTGAGTGACTCAGTCCCTCCTTACAAGGACGAGGGGGTCTCCACACTCCTGACAGCCATGTCCTCCCTCCTTTCCTTGCAGGGGGACCCACGGACCACCTCAAGGGGCTGCTGCGTGATGTGAGCATCTTCAGTTCCGGGCCCGGCCCCGCAGTTGTGGCCTTCCTTCCCAGAGCCACTGAAGACTATTTTTCTACCGTTGGCCTCCTTAGTCCTTGGTATATTTGTAGACACCTGAGCACGGGGTGGGTCTCTGTTGTGCTTCCTGTGGAGGGCGTCCTCACCCTCCCTTCATCACTTCTCCACTGTCTAGGGGACAAGCCCCAGCAGGGCAGATAGCTGCTGCAGGACATGTGTCCCTGCCCACCTGGGAGGTGCAGAGAGTGACCCCTCGGGCCTTGAGGTGGAACTTCTTAGGGATTCAATAGTTGCAGGTTTTGTTTCTTTAATGCTTTTTAAAAACCAAATTCCAAATCCAGGTTCCAACCTGGTGGGAGGGTGGAGGGCGCTGGCCTGTTACTATTTGGCGGCTCTGCTTCTAGCACTGGGAAACCCATCCCTGCAGGCAGATGGGGGGGTGGGGCGTGGGAGCAGCCTGGGCCCAGGCAGCACAGGTGGCCATGGGCAGCAGGCCAGTGGGCTTCTCTGAGGTCTGGATTCTGGAGCTTCCCAGTGCCCTTCCTGACCTTGACGACCAAGAGGAGGACAGGAGAAACCTGGGGTCCAGGACACCCCCTTTCTAAGACTTGTTACCAGAATACGTGGGTGGGGACGATGGGCTAACCTTAGGAGCAGAGACTATGGGGATCAGAGCAGTTGATTGCCTGCTCTCCCTGAGGCGTGGACGTTAGATAGGCCACACTCCTTGAGTGGGACTGAGACCCAGGCCTCATTGCTGGCCCATGTGTCCGCTGCGCATGTCCACATTGTAGCTTTCATCTGTAACTTGCAGCTTTAGTCAACCATCCCCATACCAGCTGTCTTCACAGCTCCAGCCACCTGATTACCCTTCCGAGTCACTGTTTACCCCTTCCTCCCACACACAGAAGTTATTTTTTTATGGATATTTATTTTTTTACATTGGTCAATATGCAGCTCGCTGTGACCCCTACTCCAGCAGCCCAGGCCAGGCTGACCATCCTAAGGGGTGGCATGGGGGTTTGGTTGGGGTCCTGTGTCAGCTCTCAGCCCCCAAATGGCAAACATCCTTCAGAAGGTGCAGCTCGAGTCTTAACGCCGATACTGAGCCATGGCATGTGCTGTCCCCAGCAGGCCACCTACCACTTGGCCAGAGCCTTCCCCTGCCCTGCTGATTGACTTTCCTGGGAACTGCTTGTGGCAGGAGGGAATGGTCAGGTGGGCAGGGAAAGAGCCCAAGGGCTCCTAGAATCAAGGCCCCCTCCCCCTTGCTTGCTTTCAGAAGTCCCTGGTTTCTTAGGTCCTGGTTTCTGCTCCCTAGGCCATACTTTTTCCTGCAGAAGTCAATTCCTCGTGGAGGTCCAGGCAGGCACGCTGCTAGCTCTTGGTGGGTTTGCCTGACCTCAGACACATCCTTCCACTGGGGTGTCACCCCCTGCCCCCTCTCACTTTCACGGCATCTCCATGTGGATCTGCCCAGCCCAGCCACCTTCCTGCCTTGCCTGCTCCCCAGATCGGGGCCTGTGCTGGCCTCTGCCACATCTGTGGGTTGAGGGGAATGGCAGCTGCACCTGGGTTCCTGCGCTCACTGCGGGCCCAATGACCCACCTCAGGCCTGCATCTTGAAGAGATGCCTCTGGACTGCACAAGTAGTTTTCTACACTGGGGGCTGCTCCTGGGCAGCCCCTGTACCCTTCCATCTGGGTCCTTGGCTGTTTGGGAACCCGGGCACGGGTTTTTGCGAAATGGATGAAGGCTTGGAAGTGTGCGCACCCCCCAGAAAGCTTAGCTTTGCCCCTGGGCTGCCACGAGCCCTGCCCCGCACAGCCCTTTCTGCTGCCGCCATGGGTGCAGCGCACACGGCCTCGGCCGGCCTGCAAGGGAAGACCCCTTCGGAGGTTTTGTTTTTAAGATGCATGCCAAACGTGTGATGTTTTTCTTCCTTTCCTCAACTTATTTGTAATATACATTTTATGACTGGAAATTTTTGTACAACACCAATAAACACTTTGATTTTGACCGCTGCCTCCAGTTGATCCCGCCGCTGGGAAGCCCAGACCCCGGGCACTCGCAAGCTCCGACTTGAGCTGAGCTTGTCACGCCCCGTGTCACGTGACGCCAGCTCGTGCGCACGCGCAGCGGTACAATTATGGCGGGGCTTGGATGCGAAGTGACCCAGCTTCTCTTCGAGCCCCAAGTCACGATAGCAAAACTGGTTTCTGCTCGTGCAGACTTGTGGGAGTTGTAGTCTGAACTCCACTTCCCATGGTGCCCCGGATGGCTTGGCTCCTGGCACGACTGCGGGACGGTGCGTAAGACCTTGTGGGAATTGTAGTTCAAACTCCTTTTCCCATGGTTCCCCAAACGGCCTGGCTTCCGGCGGCTGTGGATCAGCGCGTGTGGCCGCGGCCCTGTTGACTGAAGAGCCATGGAGAGCGGCTTCGGTTCCGATTTCGGGGGCTCCGGCAGCGGGAAGCTGGACCCGGGGCTCATCATGGAGCAGGTGAAGGTGCAGATCGCCGTGGCCAACGCGCAGGAGCTGCTGCAGGTAAGGGACACGCCGAGCACGGGGGTACCGTGGGGTGAGGGGAGGTCGAAGCTGAGGCTTCGCTTCTGCCCACAGAGGATGACTGATAAGTGTTTCCGGAAGTGCATCGGAAAGCCGGGGGGCTCCCTGGACAACTCGGAGCAGGTGAGGCCGGGTCAGGGGGCCGGGGCCGTAGGGGCTTGGCTGCGCTGGGAAGTGTCTGCGCCTGCGTGGGCTGACGTTAGGAAGTCTTGCGCTCGCGTATTCTTGGCTAGGGCGGTGAGCAGCTGGGGTGGGTGGTCTCCGGGGTGCCAGGGGTCTAATTGAGCCGTGCTTCCCCATCCCGTCCCCAGAAGTGCATTGCCATGTGCATGGACCGCTACATGGACGCCTGGAACACCGTGTCTCGCGCCTACAACTCGCGGCTGCAGCGGGAACGAGCCAACATGTGACCAGGAGCCACGAAGACACTAGCCTGGGGGTCGCCCCATGGGCCACCCCATCCCCTGTTTTCGTCTTCATAAATGCGTTTCGTGAGGCGGAGCCAGCAAGTGCATACTGCCTGCTCGTGGTCTCTGATGTCGGGGGGACGCGTGTGGGGACAGTGGGACTGTGTCCACCACCAGCAAGTGCAACCCGGGTCACAAAGACCCTGTGCCTTCTCAAAGCCCGGCGGCGCCTCCTGCGAGCCTCGCAGTCTGCAGCTAGTCCCCTGGTGTATCCAGGCCAGCTTCAAGCTTTGGGCTTGTGGAGAGAACCCTTGTTGGCACCTGGGGGTGGGGGGATGGGTCAGGCCCCACCGCGACCACCTGGTGGACCAATAAATTGTTGACGAAGGGCGGAGAGACCCCTGTGCATCTTCCCTCCTGGGTAGGTGTCTCTAGGAGACGCGGTGTGCCCCTGGGTTCCCTGCTTAGAGTTTGTCAGCGTCCACCTTTCCCCGTTGGTGCCTCTGGGCTGGTGGGAATGTGCTGCTGATCACAGCAGGGAGCCGACAGCACCCCTGCTCTCGGGGGACACCCCCTCCTTCCCTTGGCGACTGCCTCCCCTTCTTGCATTCCTGGAGGTCTGTGCTGTGACACGCAGCCGCGGAGCCAGGAAGCTAAGGGGAGGGACTGCGTTTATTGGAACAGAACACCAAGCGCAGCCCGTGCCCACCACCCGCACTCGCGCCTGGATCAAGCCCTGCGCCGCTGCTTCCTGTGATCTTCATGTCTCCAGTCCTGGGCGGGCATGCGTGGTCATTCCTGGATGTTCTGCCCTATCCAACCTCGCACGGCGGCCACTCGAGTGTAGACCCCTGGGAAGTGGGGCCGGCCGCAGCCGTAGCCCCAGCTGGTGACCCCAGTGAGCACCCACCGCCCAGAGGGCTCCCTGCAAGCCAGGGGTCCTCCGGCGTCACCCTGAGAGAAGAGAAGAAGGAGCGCTCAGCAGCCAGCACCGCCCTCCGGTAGCCCTTGGGCCAAGAGAGGACCCTCCACCTCGGGCACTCCCTAGATCACTGGCTACACAGGGTGACCCTGCTGCAGCCTGTACTCTGCCCGCCCCGTCTTGTCCCCAGGACCCTGGAGTGGGACGTGCGGAGTGAGAGCCAGGTTGTCGGTGCCCTAAGTACCGGTGTCGGCGCGGCGCTCACCGAGCAGCTGTCCACGCCGCCCTGCGGGAAGCCGGCGCACAGCATGCGGGTGCTGATCTGCACCGGGTAGAAGCGGCGGCAGGTCTGCTCGCTCAGGAGGCGTACGGCCGCCTTCTGCAGCTGGCGCGCCATGGACCCTGCGGGCGGCGAGAGGGCCGGGTGGTTGGGGACCCGTTCGTGGCCGGACACCCCGCCCGCGCGCGCCGGCGCCTACCTCCTTCGCGCACCGAGCCCCAGCGGTGATGACGCAGCGCGCGCCGTCGGGGGGCCGCGGTGCGGGGCCCGGCAGGCAGATGGGCCGCACCAGGCGGCTGCGGCGCACCGGGCCCGCCAGCTCGAGCAGCGCCACGTCGTAGTCGAGCGTGTAGAGGTTGTAGAACGGGTGCTTGTAGATGCGCGCCACGCGCTCCAGCTGGCCCTCCGCGCCGCTCAGGAACGGCGTGCCCAAGAACGCCGCCCACTGCTTCGGGTCCCCGTAGCTGCGGGGCGCGGGGCACAGCGTCGGCCCGGCCCCGTCCCGCCGTGTCCCCTCCCCTGTCCCCTTCCTCTACGGGGAGGGGCGCCCGCGCCTGGAACGCGGGACCCCGATTCCCTTGTTGGTGCTCTGAAGGGGACTCTGGTGGCGGGGAGGGTTCCCGCTCCGCCCGCCCGCCCCGACGGCGCAGCTGCGCACCCAGCGTGGAGTCCCCCAAAGGAGCGCCCCCGGGGGAGGGGGCTGCGCGCTGGGTGGAGCCGAGGGCGACGGGCACGGGACTCACACGTCGAAGCAGTGCGCCGCCGACAGCAGCCACCTCTCGGCCACCAGCACCGCCCCGCAGCGATGCTCGCGGCGCCGCAGCCACAGGCTCACCTGCCACGGCCACTCGCCGCGCCCCGCCGCGCTGCCGCCCACGATCCTGGTCAGCGCCGAGGCCGGCGCCAGGCCGCAGTCTGCGGGGAGGGGCGCGGTGGGCGTGGGCTGGGCCTCCGCAGCCCCCAGTGGGGAACCCGCCTCAGGAAAACCCAGCACCGAGGACGCCCGCCTGTCGCTCTGCCCCACAAACCAGTCTTCTCCCGCTTCTCGCTTTTGTTTGGTTTTGGGTTTTGTTGTGGTTTTGGTTTTGTGAGGCTTTTTTGGATTGTTTTGATGTAAAGCCAAGGCTGGCCTTGAACCCCTGGTTCTCCTGCCTCAGCGTCCTGAACCCAGCTAGTTTGTGGTTTTGTTGTTTTTCTTTTTGGCTGGAGAGTGAACCTAGGGGCCATACTCTCAGTCCTCAGGAGCTGGGATTCCCCCCATCCCCCACCCTACCCCAAGGCCTTTGCCCATACTGTGTCCTGTGGCACCAGGCACCCTGCCTGGGCTCTTACCACGGTCCTTTGTAACCCAGCTTCCTCCCCTATGCCATGACCTCCCCAGCCCCTTCGGAGTCACCTCCCCCAATAATGCACCAACCACAAAGTGTACCCCCAGAATACAGCTGTGGGAGGAATTGAGAGTGGTTTAAGGGGGCACATTGGGGACCACCATTACCACTCATGGTGGCCACACTGGCACTCAGGTGATTATTCAAGAAGAGCACTTTCCCCTTGCCAGCCCCCCTTCCCCATCTGTCCTTCCCACCACCCTTCTGGCCTTCCCAGCTTCTGGGTTTGGGACATGCCCTTCTGTCCTGGCTTCAGCAAATACAGAGGTATCCAAAAAAAGAAGGGGCTCAGGGGCAGGTCTGGGACACTGGTTGTGGAGAGTCCCTCCAGACAAGACTTTGCCCTATAGAGGCCTGGGGACAGGGTAGCCACCCTGAGCTGAGTACCATCATAGCAGGCTTCCCTGCCTCTTTGGGGCCTCTAGCTAAGAGTTCCCAGGCCTTAAGCAATTGTCAAGTCAAAGCCAGCTCAGGCTGAGGACAGACATAGGGAAGGACTCCTGGAGTGCCTGAGCAACTGCCTGGGGTTCAGGAGAACACAGACGAATCCGTCTCTCAGCTACACTACTTTCTACATCACAGAACTCTGCTGTCCAAAGTCACATACACTTGAATGAAATGCCTCCCTTTGCCTGGGGGCGAGAGGCAGAGAGGTCTCAGATCCCATTCCAGGTGCCTGGCTTCTGATAAAGAGACTGTCTGCATGGCTCTGCCTGGTGGCTCACGTCTATAATCTCAGCTACCCAGGAGGCAGAGATCGTGGTTTGAGGCTATCCTAGGCAAAAGTTATTAAGCCCCCCATGTCAACAAACAAACTGGTGTGGTGGCACACACCTGTCATCCTATCTATAAGGAAGGCGCAGATGGGACGACCAAGGTCCAGACAGGACAAAAAGAGACCCTATCTGAAATTAACAAAAAGGGATGGAGGCTTGTGCAAGGCCCTGAGTTCAAGCCCCAGGATCACCAAAAAGTAAAGAGAGATTAGGACCTAGACACACACAGAGGGACAGCTGCGTGAGGACACAGGGAGAAGATGCTACCTGCAAGCCAAGGAGGGGATTCCATGAGGAACCAGCCCTGTGACACCTTGACCTTGGACTGGCAGCCTCCAGCGCTGTGCAACAATAAATGTGTGTTGTTCATTGTGATTGTGCTTCGTCAGTGGCGCTTGTTATGGCAGCCCAAGCAGAATAACGGGACCCAGCCACCTGCCCGTGCCACTCTAGGTCTTATGATACCTGGTGGCTGGGAGTGCGTGGTGGTTTCTGGGGCAACCACAGGTGGCGTCTGTCCCCGAGCAGGGGTGCTCCTGGTGGATGCTGTTGTGTCTGGAGGGCAGACGGTCGCCTTGCTGGTGGCCTCAGGGGTGGTAGGTCTGCTGGTGGTGACCCCAGGGACAGTGAGGTTGGCTGTTGCTCTGGGAAGGTGGCTGGTAGTGGTGGCCGAGGTGGGAGGCATGGGGAGGGGGCCCAAGGACATGGTCTCCAGGATCCAGCCCTTCAGCCTGGTGATGCGTGCGTACACACCAGGCTTCCTCGCCTGGGCACAGCCGATGCCCCAGCTCACGATGCCCGCCAAATAGAAGACGCCAGGGCTCTCCTCACAGGCCAGGGGGCCCCCGGAGTCTCCCTAAAAGAGAAGAGCCAGCCAGGTGCTCTTTCTGCAGAGCACAACCACCAGAGAAGCAAGGTGGCTCCTCTCAGAGACATTGGAGACCCATCGTCACCCCCCAGCCTGGCTGTGTGACCTCATGCTGGTCACTCTCCTTTCTGAACCTCCATCCTTGTTTTTTGAGCCACTCCACCAGCCTTTTTTTTGTGATGGGTTTTTTCAAGATAGGGTCTCACAAACTGTTTGCCCAGGTTGGCTTTGAACCACCATCCTCCTGATCTCTGCCTCCTGAGTAGCTGGGATTACAGGTGTGAGCCACCGTCACCCCACCTTCTTGCTTTTATTTTGGAGAAGTTAAAAAAATGCAGAAAACAGTTACAGATATTCCCAATCCCTTGGATTAACCATAGCTCGCTGTCACAATCTTTGTCATACACCTCGTAGGCAAATTGTGGATTTCAGAAGTTACAGAGAAAGTTTGGGCCCCATAACAGCCCATGGTTTCCAAAGATGGCCACCGGTATCTCCATCCCATGTGTCCTGATTAAAGGACGCCTGACTCTCCTCCCACTGGGTCTGTGTCTTTCCCCTTGAGCCTAGCAGAGCACTGTAACTGTCCCCACCAGCTGAAGGAGGACAAAGTCAGGGTGCAAGGATGCCACCTGTGACGGCCAGCGTGCAGCCAGTGGTGAACAGTCAATCTAGCAGGAGCAAGGCCCTGGGCTCACTCCCGGTGCCACAAAAATAAAAATGAAAAGATCATTTTATTTATTTACTGCTTATCTTTGGGATGTTTTGTTACACAGCCATAGGGAGGACAGACACAGCCCCATCTCCATCCTGGCCTCCCCCCACTGTGTGCTCACATTTATTTGTATTTTAAGAGAATATAAGCCAGGCATGGTGGCTCACACCTGTAATACCAGCTACTGTGGAGGCAGAGATCAGGAGGATCAAGGTTCAAGGCCAGACTGGGCAAAAAGTCAGTGAGACCCCATCTCAGTCAGTAAAAGCTGGGCTCAGTGGCGTACACCTGTTATCTTAACTGTGGGAAGCTTAAATAGGGAGGATCGAGGTCTAGCCAGCCCTGACATAAAAGCAGACTTTATTCAAAAGACACCCCAAGTTAAAAGGGCAGGAGGTGTGGCTCACGTGGCAGAGCACCTGCCTAACGTGTGAGGCCCTGGATTTAATCTCCAGCACCAGCCCCCCCAAATATATATAAAAATATAATTATATTTTAAATATATTGTAAAATATATAATAAAAATATATAATATATATTATAAAGTATATAATAAAGATTTTTTTTTAATTTTATATAAATATGTTCCATTAACATTTTGCAAGTTGCTTTAATCATTCAACCTTGTTTTTGAGATAACTATTACAAGTTGGCCCTTTATCTGTAGAATAAATTAAATAATAGATAGAAGTATCACTTATTAGCCCATAATTATTATTAGATATAAAGATAAATAGAATGAATCAATAGAAAACAGGACTCCACACAAATCCCTGTTCTCACAACAGTTCTAAAAGCTTGGTGTTGCTATGATCAGAATCCGAGGCCCAGAGAGGTTGACTGACTTGCCCGGGGTAACCCCGCAGCTGGGACGTGACTGAGCCAGGATTTGGACCTGGGAATCTGGTGTGAGGAGCCAGGCTGGCTAGGTTCCCATTTCAGATACTGGACACATTTCCATCCCTGCTGGGGTCGGAAGCCAGGGCCTCGCACAGGCTAGGCCAGTGCTCACCATGCCTGGTCCTTGTCCTCCCAGGCCCCCTGTCCGCTCACCTGGCAGGAGTCCACTCTGCCTTCCAGGAAGCCAGCACAGAGCATGCGGTCAGTGAGGGAGAAGTTGTACAGCGCGCTGCAGGTCATCTGGTCTATGATGCCCACGGATGCCTTCTGCAGGACATCTGGCTTGGTGGCTGCCAGAAGGAGAATCCAAAATGCCACCTAGCAAGTGAGGCAGGCAGGTCCCAGGCACCAGCGTGAGGCCATTCTGGGGTTCAGAGGAGGCATGGGCTTGCGGTGGGGGTGGAAGCCTCTCTGAATGGCACAGCACAGGATCAGTAATTTTTTTTTTTCCAGACCTTGGGATGGAACCCAGGGCCTTGTCCATGCTAGTCAAGCGCTCACCACTGAGCCGCACCTAACCCTTGGATTTTGACATAGGGTCTTGTAATGTAGCCCAGTCTGACCTTGAACCTGTGACCTTCCTGCCTCGGCTGCCTGAGTGCTGGGATTACAGAACCACCACCATTCCCAGTTCATAAAGAGAGTAAATATTTTCAACTTTATAGGCCAGGTGATCTCTGTCCTGGCTATTTAATTAGGCCATTGTAGTGAGTAAGCAGGTGTGGAAAGTCTGTTAGTGGATGTGCAGGGGCCGTGTGCCAATAAAGCTTTATTTATACAAACAGGTGAGGGGCCACATGTGTTATAATGTGAAGTGAGTGGCTCCTGGGCAGGGAACCAAAGGCAAAAATGACTGGGCACAGAGGTCCCTGTGCAGTCCAGCCAACATAGGGTCCAGGTAAGGGAGGCCGACCCCCCCCACCCCCACCCCCAGGCCCTGAAGGATAAAGCCACTGACTGGCCCCCAATCCCCCTTCTCACCGTTCCCTTCCTGCATGTTACCCCAGCCTGAGATCACGCACTTCCTGCCCACAGGGAACTTCTGGATGGCCAGGGGGAGGCAGATGGGCTGGATGTACTTGTCGAAGACCAGAGGCCTGGCCAGCTCCAGCAGGGCCACATCGAAGTCCAGGATGGTGGGGTTGTAACGGGGATGCAGCACAACCCTCCGCACCCCAAGCTTCACGGGGCGCCCACCGACACCCAGCAGGGACACGGTGCCCAGGTGGGCCTGCACCTGCTCTGCCTTTGTGCTGTGGGGACAGGACCTCAGGCACAACGCCCACCACCGCCCGCCTTCCCAGGGAACAGGAGAAGGTCCCCAGGGGGAAGCCATGGGCTGCGTGTGTTGTTGTAACTTGTGACTGGCGAATGTCACAGATCCAAGTCTCCCAGGTGCCCAGCAAGGGAAGGAGTCCTCCTCCCTCCCCAGGCGAGCCCCTATGTGTCCTCCAAGGCTAGGGACAGTCCCATGTCCTCTACATCAGACACCCAGGTCAGGAGCACCTGGGCCTGCTCTCAACAATGGGCGCCTTCTGAATACATGAGGGTCTCCGGGGAGGGGCGGTGGGGCCCAGGCAGCCTGGGGTGCTTACTGGTTGAAGCAATGGGCAGCAGACAGCAGCCAGCGGTCAGCCACCACGGTGGCTCCACAGAAGTGCCTGGAACCTTCCTTCAGGCTGGCCTGCCAGGGTACCTCCCCTGACACAGCCCCGAACCCACCCACAATCCGGGTGGGCTTCTCCATCGCGGGCCTGGCCCCGCACTCTGCCAGAGACAAGACAGAGACCTGGAGGTCTTTGCCTGTTGGGAGCACGAGCATCCAGGGTCCTGAGGTGGTCTTGGGACAGCAGACTGCAGCCCCCCCGCCCCCCCCCCGCTCCAGGGTCCCCATTCCACAGATAAGCAATGGAGGCTTTGGGCATCTTGCTGGAGGTCACGCAGCAGAGGGTGACACAGCTGGGAGGGTGTGAGGTGACAAGGTGATCAGGAAATTACAAGGTCCCAGCAGCTGACACACACGGGCCAGCCTCACGGGCTGTGCGAGGAGGGGTCCATGCGCCCACAAGAGGAGAGCCAGGCCCCTTGTGGTTTGGGGCCACAGTGGGGTGCAGGGACCGTGGGCCTGCACAACCAGGAAGAGGCAGACGGGGAATGCTGGGAGCAGGAGCCCTTAGCCAAAGCTCTGCCCCGGTGGTGAGCTGAAGATGACTGTCCTCTCCGCTCAGGATGGGGGTTGGGCTGGAGTGTGGTTTGTGACGGGGGCCTGCCTAGCACGTATGAGGCCCTGACGCCGAACTCCAGTACTGCTAAAAAAAAAAGCATGGGGTGTTTCGGGGTGCTCCGTCCTCCCTGAGCATCTGCCACAGCAAGATGGCTGCAGATTTTGGAGAACAAAGCTTTCAGTGAGGACCATCACTGGAGTCCACTCCACAGGTCACATGTGACCTAACGTGCCAGAGAAGCCAAGACACTCCCCAAATCTCGTGTACAGGAGTAAAACTCACAGCAGTCAAGACCACAAACAGCCCGAGCATCCATGTGCACATGGATGGACACACAGTGAGGTCCAGCCACTCACTGGATTATTACTCAGCCAGGAACGGGATGAGGCTCTGACACGGGCCACAGTGTGGAGGGACCCTGAGGACACGGTGCTCAGTGGGAGAGGCAGACACACAAGGCCCCACTGCGTGTGGCTCCATTGATAGGACACGTCCAGGACAGGAGAGTCCACAGACAAGAAGGGGACTCTTGTAGGTCAGGGGCTGGGGAGGTGACAGGTCACTGAAGTCCCAGGGATGGGCCTTCATTTTGGATGATGGAATGTTCTGGAATTTGAGGTGGTGGCTACACAAGACTGTGGATGTGTTAAAGGCCTAGAGTAAATTACATATCAATAAAACTTGCAAAAAACCTCAGCAGTCATTGTGCCCGGCAGGAGAGCTGGGTGACAAGCTGAAGAAGCCATTGCTGAGAATGGGCGAGGTGAGGCTGGGCCGCCATGTGGACAATACCCTGGAGCCTCCCTGATGTCCCAGCACCGTCCTTCTGCCATGAGTGACCCGGAGAGAATAGAAACTTCTCAGGCAAGGAGAAGATGGCGAGGAGAACCGAGCTCCGTGACTCCACCTAAAATCCCAGCACTTGGGAGGCTGGGGCAAGAGGACTGAAAGTTCGAGGCCAGCCTGTGCTACATGGCCCAACCCTGTCTCAAAAAATAGACGAGTCCGGGCTGAGGAGGTGGAAAGGAAGGAAATGGGGTTGCCTACAAAAATACAAGAGACTCTCCTGGTGTCTTCCTTGTCTCAAAAAAAATGGACAAACAAACCTGGCATTGTGGTGCGTGCCTGCAATCCTAGCTACTCAGGAGGCAGAGATCAGGAGGCTCAAAGTTGGAGGCCAGCTTGGGCAAATAGTTTGAGAGATCCTATCTTAAAAAACCCATCACAAAATAGGACTGGTGGAGTGGCTCAAGTGGTCAAGTGCCTGCCCAGCAAGTGTGAGGCCCTGAGTTCAAACCCCAGTACTGAAAAAAAAAAAAAAGTCTATCTGAAGAATGGCCAAGGACTCAAAGCCTCCACCCACTCATGGCAGACATCAGCAATCAGTCACGTCTCTTCCCAGGGAGCACTTTGAAAGGACAGCAGGGGTCACTTGGGCCCTGCACGCTGTGCCTGGCAAGTACCTTGGGGCTTAGCAGCAGTGACAGCATCAAAGGCGACAGTGCTGGGGGCCGGGGTGGATTTGGTGGGGGTGTTGGCCATTGGGCTCTTGGGGCTGCTGATCCAGGCCGTGCTAGGGGTGGTAGGGACGGACGCTGCTGTGGGAGTCACAGGCAGGCTGGCCACGCTGATCACCTCCAGGATCCAGTCCCGCAGCCTGGTGATGCGAGCGTAGACCCCCGGACGCCGCACTTCTGCACAGCCAACGCCCCAGCTCACGACGCCAGCCAGAAAGTACCTGCCCGAAGGCTCCTCGCACACCAGGGGGCCTCCTGAGTCACCCTAGAAAATAGAGGGACGTTCTCAGGATGGCAGGGTCCCCCAGCAGGGCCAGTCCAGAAGCCAGAGCTGGATGGGACAAGGAGCTCTGCACCAGCACCCTGAGGTGAGACCTCTCTCCAGACGAGCTCTCGGAGCAAGGGTGGCGAGGGCGTGGTGGCTCACGCCTGTAATCCCAGCTACTCAGGAGGCAGAGACAGGAGGACCATGATCCAAAGCCAGTCGAGCAAAAATGCAAGACCCTGCCTAAAAAATAAACTAAAAGCAAAAAGTCTGGGGGTCGGGTTGTCAGCTGGAAACACGGTCAGCTTCCATCACAGCTCAGTCCCAACTATTCTACGAGAACCCAGATGGGTCAGTCAGTGGGTGAGCTGCTGGGCACCTGGACAAACTTGTGTCGCTTTGAGGTTTTTTCCGGGGCGACAGGGCAGAAATCTGGGGGCTCACCTGGCAGGAGTCCACCTTCCCATCCAAATAACCAGCACACACCATCCTGTCGGTGAGCGAGTGGCCGTACAGACTGGCACACAGGGCCTGGTCCAGCAGCTCTACAGTGGCTTTTTGCAGCACTTCCGGCTTGATCACTGCCCCAACAGGGAGAGAAAAGCAGGGTGAGAGTGTCGGTGCCTTAGCAGCCACTCTGAACCAGGAGGCCCTTCAAGCCTCAGCTTCCCTATCTGCAAGTGGGGCTGCTGAGAGCACTCAGCTCGGGAACTAGAAAAAGGGAAACACGCTGCAGATGTCACCCCAATAACGCTCTCCACCTGGACAGCTAAAAGGCAGCAAACTTAACCCTCCAAGACTGGGCGCAGTCAACACCTCCTAGAATTGGACTGTCGGGATCAATAGTTTTAAGTTCGTCCGCATGAAATAAAGTGTAAAGCCCAGTTTCTCTGTCACACTGGCCACATCGCAAATGCTCACTGGCCATCTGTGGACCCCACAGCTGCAGGACATCACTGTTGTCTAGAAAGTTCTGCCGGCTGGTCTAAACATCCTAAAACCGTGCTGTACAATACAGCAGCCACTGGCCGAGGGTGCCGTTTCGATGCACGTTTAAATGCGTTCAAATGAAATAAAACAGGGGCCTTGCTTCCTGCCGGAATACACGCTGTGCATGGGAAGGACTCTAATGGGTTTTTTTGGTTGTTTTGTTTTGTTTTCCGGTCATACTGGGGTTTGAACCACTCTGCCAGCCCTTTCTCCTTTAGTTATTTTTCAGGTAAGGTCTTGAGATGTTGCCCAAGGCTGGCCTCAAACTGTGATCCTCCTACCTCTGCCTCCCAAGTGACTGGGATTACAGGAATGAGCCACTATGCCTGGGTGTAATAAATGTGGCTCTGGAGTGTTCCCCACAGGCCTAAGCGTTACAGGCTCGGAGGCCTAAGTTCCCAGCTTGGCGCTATTGAGAGGTGGGGCCTCTAGGAGGCGTGGCTAAAGGGGAGGAGTTTAGGCCACTGGGGCGTGTCCTCCTCCCTTTTGCGCCCTGGCTGGTTTTGCTCCTCGTCCCTGGCTCAAAGCAATGGGGCTGACCAATCGCAGGGCAGAGCTTCCAAAACCGGGCCAAGCCAACCCTTCCTCTCTCAAAGTTGGCCAACTCAGGTGTTTTGTCGCCGCAGAGGATGCAGAGTGACACCACAGAGAGGAGGGGGTCCAGGATGAGCTCAGCGTCAGGGAGCGAAGATTCATCACTGCCCATACACGCCTGCAACAATCCCATGAGCAGGCAGGCGTGGTGGCGCACAGCTTTAATCCCAGCTACTTGGGAGGTGGAGATTGGGGAGATTTCCGTCCCAGGCCAGCCTGGGCACAAAAGCTAAGTGAGACCCCAACTCAACCAGCAGCCTGGCATGGTGTGAGTGCCTGTACTTCCCACCTATGCAGGGCCCGCGGGTAGGAGAACTGTGGTCACGCAAGGCCTGCCCCGGGCAAAATCTTCAGACCCTGTTAGAGAAATAACTGAAGCAAACAGGGGGTGGGGGCGCGGCTCGAGGGGCGGAGCGCAAGGCCCCGAGTTCAAACCCCGGCGCCGGCGGCCGGCGTTCCGCGTCCCCGGCCCCCGGGCCCCCGCCACCGTGGGGCGGCCGCTCACAGAAGTCCTCCCTGAGGTGGCCCCAGCCCGAGATGAGGCACTTCTTGCCGGGCGGGAAGCGGTGCGTGGCGGCCGGGAGGCAGGCGGGCTGGATGCGGCGGCCGAGGGGCAGCGGGCGGCCGAGCCGCAGCACGGCCACGTCGAAGTCCGCGGTGTCCGCGTCGTACCGCGGGTGCCTGGTGATCTGCTCCACGCGCGCGCGCACGGCCTCGGGGCCGCGGAGCTGCGTGCTGCCCGCCGCGGCCACCCACGCGCCCGGGGCCTGGAGCCTGCGGGGCAAAGTGGGGCTCAGACGCGGGCGCCGCACCCGGCCGGGCTCCGCGGGCCCAGCGGCCTCCCTCCCTCCCTCCCTCCCTCGCCCGCGCGGGCCGCGCCCCCGGGCTGCTGCTCCTGCAGGATTTTTTTCTTTTCTTTTCTTTTTTTTTTTTTTTTTTTTGCGGGGCCGGGGTTGCACCGAGGCAACCGACCCCCCCCACCCCCATCTGCAATGCGACATTTAAAAACAGCCAAAATGCGCAAGATACACGCCATGAACGAGATCGCAGCAAACTGTCGTTAGCCATCAGGGAGAGGAAAATCAAGCGACAGTGAGGTTCCTCTTCACCCACACGGAGTGTGCGCCACCCTCACACTGGAGTATTAGTCAGCCACGAACAGGACGAGGCTCTGACACACACCACAACACGGACGGACCCCGAGGACACGGCGCTCAGTGAGAGAAGTGGACACACACAAGCCCCCAGCGTGTGACTCCATTGATAGGACACGGCCAGGACAGGACCCAGGGACAGGAAGTGGACTCGTGGGCCAGGGGCTGGGGAGGGGACAGGAGTTGGTGTTTGGGGAACAGAGCTTCAGTGTGAGGAGGTGGAAGGTTCTATAAGTGCACAGTGGGGACGGTGGCACAGCCATGTGAGTGCTCAGTGCCACTTAAACACAGTTTAAATGGACAAATTGGTGGGGGGGGTGTCGCCGTAATTTTAAACGAGCAATTTAAAAGAAAGCAAATGCGTTCAGACTTAATGAGAAGCCAGGCAGGAAGGGGGAGGAGGGGTGGCAGCCCAGGCTTACTCGTTGAAGCAGTGGGCGGCTGACACGAGCCACCTGGCACCAATGACCGTGGCCCCGCAGAAGTGCTCCCCGTTCTCCCGCAGGCTGACCTGCCAGGGGAGCTCCCCCGGGGCCGCCTCCACGCCACCCACGATCCTGCCCGCTGTGCTCCAGGCTGGCCGCAGCCCGCAGTCTGCAAGACACAAGGTCACTGTCCAGGACTCCGGGGACACAGGGCCCTGCCCACCTCAGCCCCTCATCTACAGCCCTCAGGTTCAAGGGTGTCCTCCTTTCAGCCACTGGGGTCAAATGCCCAAGGTCACACGCACCAGGACCTGAGTGTCAAGGTCATGGGCCTTCACCGCTCTGTCCTACTGCTGGTGACCAAGGGCCAGGTGACAGACACTTCTGGACCATGCCAACTCATAAACTGGGGCCTGACTGCCCTGTGTGGCTGGCGGCCTGGCAGACATCTCCCTCCCCTTCCTCCCTCACTGTCCACTCCAAGGTCCCCAACACTTCAGCCAGTGTTGTGGGGTGGTAAGGGGTTGACTCAGGAGGCTGAGAGGGCTGGGATGCAGCTTGGTGGTACAGCGCTTGCCTAGAATGCGTGAGGCCCTAGGTTCGATCCCAGCACCAAAAAGGAAAAGACAAAAACAACAAAAAACAAAAAACCTCTCCCCTAAATGTAATATGATGTCCTGCTTTGGATTCTAGACCGGAAATAAGATGATCGTGGAAAAGCTGGGGAAATCCTAATAAAGTCTGTGTTTAAAAAAAAAAAAAGGAGGCTGAGATTATTCAAACCCTGCATGGTGCAGGAAAGGTCAGCCCTGGCCTGGCTCCTCAGGACACTGCTCCTGAGCCCTGGGAACATGTGATTCACAAGTGGTTTTGTCACCTGGGGCTGAGGCCACACCAGAGAGTTAAAGCCAACATGGGGGACCTTTATTTGGAGCTAGGGTCTTTTTTTTGGGTTTTTTTTTTTTTTTGTGATACTGGGGTTTGAACTCAGGGCCTACACCCTGACCTACTCCACCAACCTTTTTTTGTGATTTTTTTTTTTTTTCAAGATTGGGTCTCACGAGCTGTTTGCCCGTGGCTGGCTTCGAACCACAATCCTGTTCTCTGTCTCCTGAGTAGCTGAGATTACAGGCGTGAGCCACTGGTGCCTGACATAGGGTCGTTTAAGATGGAACACGTTAAATGTAGGTATTTTGAGTTGGCCGGGCCCTAATCCGATGTGACTGTCCTTGTATAAAAGGGGACCTGACACCTGTGACATGGAGACAGAGGTGGGGCTGTACGTCTGAAAGCCAAGAGCTCTCAGGGGATAGGTCTGGACTGCATTCTCCCTCCTGGACCAGAAGGAGCTGTGACCTTGACCTTCGTCGTCTTCCAGAACTGAGAACGGTAGATTGCTACCATTTGAGGCACGAGGGTCTGTGGTGTTCTGGGACCACGCCCTAGCCAACAAAGTCACTGAAACCAGCTACGTGGGAGCCTCATGCCTGTGTGTGACCAACCCCAACAGAGACTTGGGACACCAAGGCCCAGGTGGCATCCCTGACTGACACCGTGTCCTGTGTGTGGCCACACGTCATTGCAGGAATAATTAGGGCTGTCCACACAGTCTGTCCGCCTCTCTCCCCAGGACTCTGCTCAGCGCCTTTTTTATTGCTAGTGTGAGAAGCTGTCACAGCTTTCCTGGGATCTTTGAGTCCTAGGGTTTCTCCGTGTAGCCAGTATTGGACTACTGTGCCTGGCAACTGTTGATTCATTTTACACAGACAACTAGGACTGGAAATGTGGTGCCTGCTTGTAATCTCAGCCACTTGGGAGGCAGAGATCGAGAGATTCATGGTTCAAGGACAGCCTGGGCAAATAAGGTCTCATTTCAACAGCTAAGCTGGCATAAAGGTGCCTGCCTATCATCCCAGCTACATGGGCAGCACTGCAGGAGGACCATGGTCCAACCTGGCTCCAGGCAGAGAAGCACGAGACTCTGGCTCAAAAATAAATAAAGCAAAAAGGCTGGAGTATGTCTCAATAGAGCGCCTGCCTTGCAAGCACAAGGCCCCAAGTCCAAACCCCTGTACTGTCAAAAAAAGTGGGGGTGGGGGGAGAGGAAAAGAAAGCTGAAAATTGCAATGTTTTCTCGTCCTTTCAGAGCTTAAACTCCTGTTCTTACCTTATTTCATGGGCTGAAATTGCTAGAAAAATGTTGGCTACTCTTTTTGTATGTGTGTGTGGTTCTGAGGATTGAACTTGGGGCCCCTTTCTGCCACTCGAACCACATCCTCAGTCCTGTAGCTTTCAGTTGTTTTTCAGGTAGGTTCTCATGCTTCTGCTTCTACACTGTGATCCTCCTACTTCCATCTCCTGAGTAGCTGGGATTACATGGGTGTGTCACCCCACCTCCCCCTGCTGACCACTCTTACGGCATTTTTTCCGGACCCTCTTGCTCAGGTCCATTGGACCGCTCTTTGCTACTGATGTATTTTCTGGACTTACCCCAGGACTGTCCACCTCACACACCTGTGTTGCTGCTAGGGAATCTGCCCACACCAGGGCCACCCCCCACCTTCTCCTCAGTAAATGCTAGGCTCAGGTGATGAGCCAGTGAGCAGGGCCACTGAGACCCTGGGGTAGGGGTGGGGGGGCAGGACACAGCCGGAGCCCAGGCCAGACAGGCCGACTGACCACAGTGTGCCTCGTCAGATCCATCGGAGCAATCTGCTCTGTCGTCACACTCAGGGTTCACCTTGGTCACACACTGGCTGTTCTGGCAGGAGAAGGTGTTCCCTGAACAGTGGCCTGAGGACACAGCAGAGCCAGATTTTCACTTGGGTGACCCTCTGACGTCGGGGGTCTACAAGTCCCCCCTAAAAGCACACCAACGCTGTTTTCTGAGCACACGTCCCATGAACCAGAAACCGACACGAATCTCCCATCCCCCCTCACCCTGCTCCCTCGTCTGGGGCAAATTCAAGGCTTGAGTTTCCCATGGCCATGCTTGGCGACCTTGCAAATAAATTCTTCTGCAAAATATGTTGTGATTGGCAAAAGCTGTGCAGCGGGCAGAAAGAACCTGGTGCATAACAAAAGGATTCAAATTGCTCATCCCCCCCCCCCGCTCTGGTGCGCCCCCGTGTGGCCAAGTGTGGCATGGCATTCCTTCTTCCAGGAACCGTGAGTAACAATCTGGCTATTTAATGGTGTGATTCACGAGCCTCACTGGAAGTCAATTCTCCTTCCAGTGCCTTGTGTTTTAAGTTCACACGTGGGCAGAGAAGCCCATATTCAGTCCAGTTATGCTCAATGAGAACCCCAGTGAGGAAGTGTGAGCTGGATCTCCCCTGTACTCAAGGCCTCCGTTTTCTTGTGAGCTGCACCTGCTCTGCTCATTGCACATAAAGCCCAGGTGGATCTGTGATTGCAGCAGTTCCTGAGGCTGCCACTGGCTATTGAGGAGAGGGCAGCCCACAGATCACAGTGTACCCAGCCTCCACCCTCTCCATGACACGAGCTCCCCAGTTCTCACAGCCACAAATGTCCCCCAGCATGGCCCAGGGTCCCTTGGGGGGCCAGGATTGCTCCAGCTAAGGAGCACTGACTTAAAACTAAATGTCTACACCTGTGGAGTCAATTACCTGCAAGGACAGAGTATCAAAAGTAATGACATTTCTGACATACATTCTTTTCTCTTTTCTAAACTGCTATTTTATTCTTTTTTTTTTTGTGACACTTGCTAGGCAGGTGCTTTTATTGCTTGAGCCACTCCACCAGCAGTCCCCCCTGTCACCTTTTTTTTGAAACCAGGTCTCACTCTGTGGTCCAGGCTGGCCTGGAACTCGCCATCCTCCTGCCTCAGCCTTCTGAGTGCAGGAATTACAGGCGTGCACCACCACACCTGGCTGATTTTGTTGTTCTTTTGTTTATTGTGTATAATTGTACACCGGGCTTCGCTGTGGTGTTTCATGCGTACTTTGTACTTTGATCAGATTCAGCCTCTCTCTTGCTCTCTCTTCTCTCAATAAATAACAGACCAGTAACGAAAGCCCTTCATCTACTTGGTAGGAGTTGTAGGAATCCTGTACCAAGCCCAGGGAGCCCATGCCACAGCAAAAAACCTACCTGATTTGAAGTCCCTTCCGGTCACTGGTCCCCTGAGGCTTCCTAAAACAAGGCAGAGAAGGCAGGAGCTCAGCTAAGCGAGGAGACAGCTGTCCAAAACCATGTGACTGCAGGGGACAGCGAGGCAACGCACAGGGCCACCAAAATTCTAGTCACAGGAAACTTGGTCCTCAGCCTTGGGCCACATGCCAGCCACTCAACAGCCACATGTGACCAGCGAGCACTCGAGGAACATTCTTCTTCATCACCCCACCCGGGAAAGTTCTGGAGATGGCATTGCAGTGACGTCAGTAAGACCTCAACCCATCCCCAGTGCTGGGAGGGAGGAGCACCACAGTCAGGTCAGCAAAGTCAAGGTCAAAGTCAGGGTGACCAGTCTTTAACCAGACAGTTTCCAATTGTGAGCATAGAGAACACACCCTCTGTTTGTTGTTGTCTTTTTGAGGCAAAGTATCAAAATGTGGCCCAGGCTGGCCTTGAACTCCTGATCCTCCTGCCTCAGCATCCCTCCTGCTGGGATTACAGGTGTGGACCACTACTCCTGCCTCTCCTTTTATTTCTGCAGTAGAAGGTGGCTGACTATGGCTGTGGGCCAAACCTGGCCCTCCACTTGTTTTTGTCAATAAAGTTTTATTGGTACACAGCCAAGCCCAGTCTTTTCCATAGTTACTCCTTCTCACAGGAGATCTGTTCCCTGACACGCCAAGGCCCTGGGCTCGATCTCTGGCACACAAAAAAGTAGCGTAATTATGATTTACTTTCATAAAATTGCCAGCATCACAACTCTTGTTTTGGAGACAAAGCACTTCAGGTTTTGTTTTCTTGTTTTAAGAGACAGGATCTTATTATGTTGCCTCGGTTGGCCACAAACTCTTGGGCTCAAGTGACCTTTCTGCCTCAGCCTCCCAAGTACTGGGAGTATAGGCGTGTGGCACCACATCTGGCTTAAATACAGGCACTACTCAATACCTCAGTGGTTGATCTGATAACCAAATGGCTACTGAGTGACTAAAGGAAGGGTAGCACACACAGTGTGGACACGCTGGGAAAAGAGATGATTCATGAATTGTTAATCTCTGGAATTCTCATTTAACCTTTTGGGACCACAGTTCACCAAGGGTGACTAAAACCATAGAAAGTGGATCTGTGGATGGGTGGGGACTAGTGTGCTGCAACAGCAGAGTTGAGGAGTCATCACAGAACTCCCAGTGTATCACAAAGATGAAAATATTTACACCCCAGCCCCTTACGGAAAGAGGTGGGTGACCCCTGGTCACTGCTACGAGGTTGAAGCAATGTAGGTGTGTTTTCTTTCCCCAGGAGGGGGTGATGGTTAAAAATGTGACACTCATGCACATTGCAGTGGCTCCCCTCCACCGACAGTCCCTCGGGCTCCACCTCCCACTCACCCATGAGCTCAGCAGACACGATGGTGCCGTAGGCAGCCAGGGGGACACCATGCTGGCCCAGCCTTGCCCGGATGCCCTGCTGCAGGAGGTTCTCCTCCAAGTCCAGGCTCAGTGGCCAGAGGGCTCGAAGCAGGAAGTGCAGCCGGAAACGCACAAGGACACTGGAGTTGCCGTCCCTATAGGTACGACCAGAGGGCGGTGGGGAAGAAGGGGGGTTCGTCTTTGTGGGAATCTTCCAGAATCTTCTAGAACCTTCCAGAATCTTCTGGTTCCTACCAAGCTTCATTTACCCAAATGAAGGCCCCCAACTCACCTGTAACTAAGCACTGTACAGCCCACACAGCTGGCTTCTAACTCCGTCTTCTGGAAGCTGCTCACAAACTGAAACAACAGTGGCAAGTGCTGAAACCCGAGCATGGGCGTCCCTGCGCCGGGGGCTGCAGCGTGCGAGGGACCTGGACTGGGAGAGGTTCTATGGGAAACACTGCTGTCTAAAACTTGGGAAATGAGGCAGTGGCTCACGCCTGTAATCCCAGCTTCTCAGGAGACAGAGATCAGGAGGATCAGAGTTCAGAGCCAGCCTGGGCAGATAGGTCATGAGACCCTAGCTCGAAAACACTCATCATAAAAAAAAGGGCTGGTGGAGTGGCTCAAGGTGTAGAGTGCCTGCCTAACAAGTGTGAGACCCTGAGTTCAGACCCCAGCACCCCCACCCCCACCAAAATTTTTTTTAAAAACTCAGAAAATGCCCCCACTTCATAGAGCCGTGAAGGGGGCAGGAGAGGGGCATTTTGAATCTATTTGTATAATGTATTACTGCGTCACAAGATGGGTGAACGAGCACCCTGCGCTTGGAAATGACTTGGCTAGAAACAGGCCACTTCTGGGCCCTGTGTCTCAAGATCTCGTGATTTTCCTGTTCTGGACTCTTCTTGTCAATGGAGTCACCAGACACATGGCCACGCATGAGGACTCTACAACCCCTAAGTCAATGGAGCCACACGCTGTGTGCTTGTGTGTCCTCAAGGTCCCTTCACACTGCAGCGTGGGGCAGAGCCTCCTTCCTTTTCCTGGCTGTGTGGTGCTCCACGTGAGAAGGGGCCGTGTGTGTCCATCCATCCGTGGATAGACTTTTGGGTTATTTGCACTTTTTGCCTATGACAAATCACGCTGCTATGAACATGCATGTGCAATTTTTTGGGGGGAGATTTTTGGTTTTCTTTGGCAGTACTGGGGTTTGAATTCAGGGCTTCCAAGCTTGCTAGGCAGGTGCTTTACCTCTTGAGTCATGCTGCCAGCCCTTTTTGCTTTGTTTTTTAGATAGGTCTTGTGTTTGTTGTCTGCGGCTGTCCTCAGACCACGATCCTCCACCTGGGCCTCCCTCATAGCTGGGGTGACAGGCATGTACCAGCATGCCTGGCTTGTTGATTGAGATGGGGGAGTCTCATTAACTTTTTGGCCTGGGCTGCCTTTAAACCACAATCCTCCTGACCTCTGCTTGGGATTAGAGGTGTGCACCACCAGGCCTGTCCTTCACGTGGGACTTTTGGTTTTTGTGGTGCTGGGGACGGAACGCAGGCCGTGTGCACGCTGTTCCACTGAGCTACACCCCTGCCCATGGCAATGCTCTGTGTGGACATATGTGTCCATTTCTCTTGGGTGTGAACCCAGGTGTGGAACTCTGGGCCTTACAGTGACTGTTGAGCCACCACCCCCTTTTCCACAGTGGCCCTCCCATTTTACACACACATCTGCTTTGTGTGACGGTCTCATGTCTCCACTAGAATAAAACTGGAAACCTCTAAAGGTGGCCTTAAGTCCTGCCTGTGTCAACCTCCACCAGTCCCACTCTCCCTGTGAGCAGGCCCTGTCACCCCAGCCTCCTCCTGTCCATTCGCAGCCCGGCCCCCTGCCCTAGCTCTACTGTGTGGTGGCCTCCACTGGGGCCTCCCTGCCTCCTCCCCTCCAGCCTCAGCTCCTCACCAGCACTTGCAGCGCGGCTGTGAGCGCACGGTGATAGTCGGAGGTGGCTCTCTGCAGGGCACTACTGTAACCCACGCCCCGCACCTCTGCGCTGTGCTCCACACACAGGTCCTGTGCCGAGAGGAAGGCTGCGGGGAGACCAGGGGTGAGACAGCCCCAACTGCGGGGTCCCCAGCCCTCCCTCCCCAAAACCCCAGGATGGCACAAGGCCGGTAAGGACTGAGTGACCCCAGATGTCCCCAATGTCCTGCTCATGGGCCAAAGACAGAACGACTGAGAGGTGCTCAGAGACTGGGACCAAGTCCCCACCTGTGCATGCATGGAAGGCCACACGCCTCAGGCCAAATTTCCCTGCACGGGCCACCACTGCCACGAGAGGGCGACCGTCACACGTGTCAGATGCCCAGAGGTTCCATAAACAAAAATTTTCAAAATTAACCATAGTTGAGGCAAAACCGCGAAGGACTGCCATCTTGCTATTTTGTCATGAGGACAATTTCCCCCAAATTGCCACTTATATCATCGTCTCCTAGAAGAAAGGTTTTGATTTTTGCCGTGCTGGGGATGGAACCCAGGGCCTCATGCAGGCTACACAAGCACTCTGTCAGTGAGCCATACCTTACCTCCTTCCCTTTTAGAAAATTCCTTCTTCCCTCCCTCCCTTCCTCCCTTCCTTCACTGGGTCTCTCTCTATGTAGCCCAGGCTGGCCTTGAACTCAATCCTCCTGCTTCAGCATACAGAGGGCTGGGATTACAGCAGTGCACCACCATGCTCAGCTCCTCCTCTTTTTCCCCTTTATTCATAGGTGCATACAATGTTTGGGTCATTTCTCCCTCCTCCTCCTTTTTTTAAACTTAGGTCTCTTGTAGATCTTTCTGTTTGAGAGGACCGTCCTTGGTTGATGTTCGTGTCTGCAGATGCTTCACCAGTCTGCATGTTTTACCTTAAATAATGTGAATGTGGAACTGATATCAAAAAGATAGCAGGGCTGGGGGAGTGGCTCAAGTGTTAGCGCACCTGCCTAGAAAGCATGAGGTCCTGAGTTCAAACCCAAGTACTGTCAAAAAACAGTAAGCAAGTGAAGTTTGAGTATTTGTGGATTGCAGTGATGAAAATTAAGGTTGTTGTTCTTTTTTTAAAATGTTTTTTGGTCTTTTTCAAGTTTCTCAAGATTTAAAACAAATTCATTTTACCATCTCTGTTTTTGTCCATTTCACCCCAGCTGTAAAAAATTCCTTGGTGGGGCGTTCAGTGTGGAAGCCTGACATGCTCAGAATCTCACCCCCTGCCCCTGTGCACCCCAAGAGTGTAACTCCTGGCCCCAGGCACCCAGCTTTGTCATCTCACACCTTTGGTGGCCTTAAGGGTCGGCCTTCATTTCTACACTCAGCCTTTTCATCTGGAGTGATTGTAGAGACACCACTGAGCCACTTCTGGGTCCTTTGTGTGAGTTGCCTGGTTCTGTGAATCCTGCCAATCCCACAGCCGCCTACCCAAAAGGACCCCCAGGGAGAGGATGACCACACTGGTGACCACCACTGCAATGACAGCCACTCGACAGCACCCAGAGTCCGGGGCAGCGACTTCCTTGGTTGCCCTTGGCACGAGCTGCAAGTCTGCCGCGGTGGCCTCCATGGCGCAGAGACACAAGGACAGCAATCTAGAAGGCAGCAGAAAGGACAAAAGATGAGGTCAGATCTCAGAGATGTCCCCTGAGCAAGGGCTGGACTCCATCCACACTGACGTCAAAAGGGATGGCACACGGCTGGGGTCCCCGTGGGTCACAGCTACAAGGAATGGTGTGAGCGTCTTACAGCTGCTGTAACAAAGTAGCCCCAGCCTGGCAGCTAAAGGAACATGGGTTTGTGATCTTCCAGTTCCAAAAGTAAGAAGTCTAAAAGGGAAGATTGTGTGTCCCTTCCAGAGACCCCACGGAAGGTCATGTCCCTTCTGTCCCAGTTCCTACTGCCCTGCACCCTTTGGCTCATGGCCCCTTCCTCCCTCTTCAGGAGAGCATCTCAGTGTCCCCCAGTCTCTCTCTAGATGTTCATTCAGGGCCCTGCACTTGATCCCATCTCCAGGGCCCCCTGTGCCACAGGAGGTGACATAGCCACAGGCTCCAGGATTAGGACAAGGACATTCTTCTATCATGGAATGGAATAAAGTGACTTTGTGAGAAGAAGTTGAAGTGGGTGTCTTTTTAGCTCTGATGTGCCCAGTGTCTTCAACCCTCCCTCCATGTGGTCACCACGGGCTTCTCAGGCACTCTCAAATGGCAGCTGGCTTCCTCCGAGGGAGAGACCCAACAGAGAGCTATGTGGAAGCCACCTACAGCCACAGTTGTCACTTCTGCCCCAGTCTGTGCCTTACAAGTGACTTTTGAAGTCCTTACCCCATTAGGATGGTAAGCACCATCTTTCAAAGGAAGATACCTCAAAAGGATTGAGTGGTTTTTGTTTTGTTTCTGGTATTTTTTTAAGGCAGGATCTCACCATGTGGCTTAGGCTGACTTTGAACTCACCACCCTTCTGCCTCAGCCTCCCAAGTGCTGGGATTACAGGCATGCACTATCATGCCCAACCTTTGAAGCCTCTTTTTTGACACATTCATCGGCACCTCCAGTTGGATCAACATTCAAAGTAGGTTCCGAATCCAACCATTTCTCACCACCCATCCCTGCGGTGCCAGTCTCGACAGGCACTGGCATCGCGTCTAACAGCACAGGCCTCCTCCCTCCCTCCCTTGCTGGAGCGAGGTTTTCTCTCTTGCTCCTTGGTTATTACTGAACCTAACTGGGCTTAACTGGGAGGTGACTGGAGATTTTAGAACAGACACAGGATAGACAGACAGGCAGAAAGAAATTTGGGGACAGGTGTGTTGTACGCTCGACTGGAGACACAACCCTCATTGCTTCTTTTCTCTATCTTGATTCTTTAAGGCCTTTCTTCTTGCAATTCTTTAAAACCTTTTTCCTTAGGTTCGCACTGTCCCTTGCTTGCTCTTATCTTTAGCTTAGTTGCTCTTAAAGTCTTTTGCCTCCAGGCTTGCACTGTCACATCTCTCTTTTGCTCCCTTAAAGCCTCGGTGCTCAGACTTGCAAGCAGCCACCCTACAACCTGCATATGCACAACCCTTAAAGTCTCCATCCTTAGACTTGCACTGTGCACGGTCCCGTGTTCTCTTTGGCTTTTCTTTAGCTTTAGCTTTCCTAAGGCCTATGTATGAAGTTCTTTCTCAGCTTTGCTTTCTGAAGCCTATGGTAAAGTTCTCGGTGCAGACTTTCTATCAGCCCCTCCTTAGCATTTTCCCTTCAGCAATTGTTCCCTTTTCCCTTTAGCATTTTCCCTTCAACAATTTTTCCTTTCAATAATTCTTTTCCCTTCCAAAAGCTTCCGACATCAAAAGGCCGAAAGTAAAAGCTTCTTCCCAATATTTAAAGGCAAAAGGCCCCCCAAAGCAAAAAGCCAATAACCAAGCAAAAAGTCCAAAAGCCCAAAGTAAAGCCCTCAAAAGCACAAGCCCCCAGGCCTCCTTCAGGGGTCTTTTATAAACAGCTGCAAACTGGGTGGAGCAGCGGTTCTCGGGGAGGGGCGTGACACTGTAACAGGAGAAACCTGCGTTCCTGCTTCTCTGAACGCAAGCTTAGGAGACACAGTTGTTCTGCTTTTTTCTGTTTTATGCTTATCTCGGCCTACAGGTAAAAGCAATCAACTGCATCTCGCCTTGCTTGTGTCCAGTTCTCAAAGGCTTTAATCCACTCCCCACACCTGGTCCTTCTGTAATGTTCCTCCTCTTGGTGGCTGGGGATTCCTTGAAAATGTTCACTGGGCGACATTCCTGCCACTCCTGATTGCAAAAAACCCAGGGGCCTGAGATGTCTCCTCACTGACCTTGACCTTGTCTCTCCTTATCCCCCTCACTCACCCTCCATAGCTGCCAACCCTTCTTTGATGGTCTGCAGTGCCCCAAGGGCACCCTTGCTCGCTGCCCCTCTCTACCCCCCTGAGGTCTCTGCCCCGAATATTATGTCCTCGGGGACACCAACCTTCCAAAACCACCATCCTCTTGCCTCACCTTAATTGTCATCACTATTGCCACTGTCAGCATCTCAGCTCTCTCTTCTTTTTTTAATGGGATTGGAATTTGAACTCGGGGCTTCACACTTGCAAAGCAGGTTCTCTACCACTTGAGTCACACCTCCACTCGATTTTGTTCTGGTTATTTTGGAAATGGGGTCTCACAAACTATTTGCCTGGACTGCCCTTGAATCATGATCCTCCCTAAATCAGCCTCCCATGTAGCTGGGATTACAGGTGAGCCACCAGCACCCAGAAGCATGTCACATTTATTTCCCTGTGATTCTAAGCTCCAATGACATGTGGACAAGTTGACAACTGGCTCTTTGGTGGACAGAGGACGCTGACTTGTGGCGCCCACCAATTCCCATGGTATAAATATTCCAGGTTGGTTGGGTTACATTCTTGAGACCAGGGGACAGTTTGCCTAAGACGCAAACTTGAGCTGAGATAGATGAGTCACAGACCAAGGCCTGGTGGGGTGGACTTTTCCGTAAGGACCAGGTGGTAAATATGTCCTTCCTTGAAAGTCACACAGTCTCTGGGTCCAGTCGGTCCCATCATGGCAGATGCAGTGCTTGATGCACACTGCCAGCCCTTTTTGCTTTAGTTATGTTTTACCCAGCCCTGGGGTAGAGCTCGTGCATGGCATGTGCAAGGCCTTGGGCACCATTCCTAGGAGAGAGGGAGAGGGGAGAGAGAGAGAGAGAGGAAAAAGAAATCACGTGTGTCCTAAACGCACACAGACTTTATTTCCCCTGGTCATTACTCTCTAAATGACACAGTGTACCAACTGCACACAGCAGTGATCTTGTAGCAAGCATTTTCAATCTTCTAGACATTCAAGTCTGCCCGGGGGAGGACATGCAGCTTCTGTGCACACCACGCCACTTACTCCAGGGACCTGTGCACCCACGGATCTTGGTGATGCCAAGAGAGCGTGCATGACTGTGCACATGCACGTATCCCACCCCATTGCTTCTGTTTCTCTGGAGACCCCAGCCCCAATATATGTTGTAGTATAAGTATTTTTCATGAGATACTTGGGAATATTTATACTGAAAGAAGTTTCATCATTTACCCGAAATTCAAACATATCTCAGTGTGCTGATTGTTCATTCTGTCAGCTCTATCTTGGAGCCAGAATGTCCCATCCTCAGGAGACCCCATCCCTGATGACAACGGCCACTCCCCGCCTCCCTGCCACCATCCCGAGCTGAGCCGAGGGGACAGGGGAGTCACGTGGGGGTGGCAGGAACTGGGCTGTCACAACACTTGCCCCTTTATTCTTACACTTGAGTTGAATTGCCTTTGGAGGAGCCAAAAAATCTCTAAGAATTACTTGATGAAATGTTTTTAGGACAAAAGACATCAAGATTTGCTCTGCGATTTCGTGCATGCAATCACTGTGTCCCCGGGGCACACACTATGTCCATTCAGCCCCTGCTGCCTCTGCCGCCCCTGCCCATGGGTTTTCTGAGGATTCCTGTGTTCTCTAAATTGTCTTGTCATCACCTGTCATTGGTCCCCAGAACAGATCCTACTGCAACTGAGCAGTGAATATAGAAACGCCATTCATTCAGCTTTTCATCCACCTGATAGTTACGCTGGGCCAGGCCTGGCTGTGTTGTGCAGAGCGCACAGCCCTGAACAGGACAGCTACGATTCTCTGAGCTCATAGAGATTATGACTTAGCAGGAGACGCCCTTGTGAATTAAAATCGAGTTATGATAAAGACTCAATACTGTAAGCGCACTTACAGCACCTCTGCTCTGTCTAAAGGTGGTTTGGATTGAGGGATGGTAGCTGGGGAGGGTTTTCCAAGGAGACATGAGTTATCTGAGTTTCAAAGGAGAAACAGGAATTGGAAGGAAAAAGTCCCATACAGCAAGGACAGAATATAGAGCATTCCTGAGGCAGGAGAGCAGAAGTAAAGACCAACCTGAAGAAAATGTGTTGGTCAGTTAGTGCTGTGTAACAAGTCACCACAATTTAAGCATATGACAATGCAAATTTATTATCTCACCATTTCCACATGTGTTAGTCAGTTTCCCGTTACTGTAACATACACCTGAGATGATACACTTACAGAGACAAAAGGTTTTGCTCCATCATGCACACCCACTGTGATGTGCTGCCTCACCACAGGTCCAAAGGCAGCAATGCCAACCAACCATGGACTGGAACCTCTGAAACCATGAGCCGAAACAAACCTTTCCTCTTTATAAGTTGATTATCTTGGCTGTTTGTTATAGCCATAGAAAGCTGACTGATGCACATGTCAAGTGCTCAATGGCCCCGTGGCTCCACCATCTGTCATACTGGGCAGCTCACCGTGGAACACTTCCACCATCACAGGACATTTCATCAGCCAGCACTGATCCATGACAGGAGCCAGCAAGTTATGGCTCTCAGGTCAAATCCAGCCTGATGCTTATTTTTGTAAAGTTTTTGGGATAAACAACCATGCCCATTCACTTCTACATCGCCTCTGACACTTGTGAGGCAATGGCAGAGGCAGGTCATTGACAGACACCAACTGGTGCACAAAAGCTGAAAATACTTGCTCTCTCTGCTACCTTATACTGCAATTCAAAAGGAACAAGGGCCAAACCAAAATGATGCTGAGATTCCACCTCACCCCAGTCAGAATGGCCATCATCAAGAAAACAGCAGCAAGGCACCTTGCCTTACACCTGTAATCCTAGCTATGCAGGAGGCAGAGATGGGGGGGGGGTCATGGTTCAAGGCCAGCTCAGGGGAATAGTTCTCAAGATCCCATCTTCAAAATAACCAGAGCAAAGTGGACTGCAGGTGTGGCTCAAGTGGTAGAGCACCTGGGGTTCAAACCCCAGTTCCACCAAAAAACAAAGAAACAAGGGACCAGCGTGCATACGAATATGACAAGTCCTTTAAGACACTGAGGGACAAAACCACAGAACAGTGTGCACCGTCTTTAAAAGACGTGTTTAAAAGCTGTTCCGTGTGTATTTATGAATTCAAGGTCAAGTTCGGAAGATTACTGTATCGAACTGTTAACGGTAGCTTCCTCTGAGGAATGGGAATGGCATTATTACGTGGCATTATTACCAGTGACTTTCAACAGGGGCAGTCCTGTCCCCCAGAGAAATGTGGCAGTGCCTGTGGACATGGGTGACTGTCACGTCTGGGGAGCTCCTGGCATTGAGTGGGTGGAAGCCAGGGATGCTGCTCAGTGCCTGTATTGCCCAGGACGCCCACAGAGAAAGACCTGCCTAGCGCACACAGTGTCCAGGGAGACCCTGTCACCTACTTTTCTAATGAGAATTTGCCCATTCGGTAAAAACAATTTAAATGAAGAAGGAGTAGCGTGTGATAAAGAGCTGTAGCGGCCATAGGAAGGACTGTGTGGTTCTGGAGCTCTGGTGAGCACTGCACCATGTGTGTCTCGCAGGTCACCCTGGAGGACAGCACCAGGAGGAAAGGAGTCCAGAGAAACTCCAGAGGCACCAGCGTGGGGCACGTTGAGGGGACCTCAGAGCCTGTGTGGGGCTTGGGAATGGTGTGGGGGGTGGGTAGGGTGTGGTAGGGTGGGTGGGGTGGGGTGGGGCAGGCTGGAGGTGAGAATGGAAGGCCATGAGGTACTATTCTCAAGAGTTCAAACTCTGTCCCAGGACCAAGGTCATTGGCAACAGGGCTGTTTAGTTTTGAGTGAATTCAGCAAGTTTCTGTCTTGGCTGTTCCTGCAGGTATTCCACCAACACCTACTTTGACGAACTGTCCCACTTTTCCCAAGACTGTCCTTGCTTTAGTATCAAAAGTCCCCTATCTTAGGAGACCCCTAAATTCCAAGTCAGGACAGTCACTCTATAGGTGACACTTAAGCACAGTCTACACAAAACTGGTGCCGAAGTGCCGCTCACACACACGTGGCCTCTTCACCACTCTTCTCCTCTATGCCCTCTGCAAACATCCGTCCATCTTCAAGGCCAGCAGAGTCTACCTCCTAGATTTCTGGGGGGCCAGGGTCAGCCACACATCTCTGTCACAACCACTCAGCTCTGTGGCTGTGCCTACAAGAGCAGCCTTGGCCAACACCACCATGCGGGAATGGCTGCATCTCCACCAAGTCTGCTTTACTAAAACAGGCAACAGGCCGGATTTCGCCCGCTCATCATGGTTTTCTGACCGTTGGTCTAGAATCCACCATTTTTCTGTTCCCATCCTAGTGCAGGTCATCACCATCTGTCACCTGAGTTATTGCAACAACCTGGACCTTTCTAGCCTTTCAACAGACAAATCCACAGTTCATCCCCTACCTATAAGCAGTGAGACTCACTAGGGAAGAGGCAGACACATAAAGGAAAACAAAACCTTTCTAGAGAGTGGCATCTCTTTGCATGTAACACAGGATTCCCACAACCCAAAACTACAAGACATACTAGATCATGGGGAAAAAAACACTATGACCAGAGTCAGCAAATAAAGAAGGTGTCTTGGATACCCTAGCAACTGAGATAATATACTTTTTTTCCTTTCTTTCTATTTTTTTTTTTTGTAGGTCTGGGGGTTAGAACTCAGGGCTTTGCACTTGCAAAGCAGGCACTCTACCACACCTTGAGCCATACCTCCAGTCCATTTTGCTTTGGTTATTTTGGAGATGGTCTCTAGAACTATTTGCCCAAGCTGGCCTTGAACTCTGATCCTCCCAATCTCAGCCTCCCAAGTAACTAGTATTACAGGTGTGAGCCACCAGTGCCCAGTTTGGTTAAGTTTCTTATAAACACAAGATAATTAAAAATATTCAAAATGACACTATGAAAAAAATGGGCAGAACTTTTAAAAAACAGAAGTTCTAGAAATGAAAATAACAGTAATCAGCATTAAACACTAGAAATTCTAGAAATGAAAACTATAGTAATCAGCATTAAACACTCCGTAAATGAACTACACAACACAGATGAAGAAAGAACTGACTATGAAGACCTGTCACGAAGAAATCAGCAAAGAGAAGTAAAAAGTAGAAAAACCTGAAAGAGAAGGTAACAGACATGGAAGACAGAGAGAACGGAAGACCACGCTCCATATCTCCTGGGGGTTCTGAAAGGGAAGAACAGAGAAAATGAAGGAGGAGCACTTTAAGAGAAATTAGCAAAGAATTTTCCAGAATTGAAAGATATGAATGCTCAAATTTTTAAATTAATTAGTTAATAATTTTTTTGTGGTACTGGAGTTTGAACTCAAGGCCTAAACCTTGAGCCACTTCACCAGTTCTTTTTTTTTTGTATGTGTGAAGGATTTTTTCAAGATAGGGTCTTGCCAGCTATTTCCCCAGGCTGGCTTTGAACCATGATCCTCTTGATATCTGCCTCCTGAGCAGCTGGGATTATAGGCGCAAGCCACCAGCACTGGTTGAATGCTCAGATTTGACTAGCACAATCAAACATTGTAAACAAAAACAACTCCTCAGTTTAAACCTGCAGAATACAAACAAAACAAAAGAAAAGACCATAAAAGGGAGCCGGCACCAGAGGCTCAAGTTTATAATCCTAGCTACACAGGAGGTAGAGATTAGAAGGATCCCGGTATGAAGCCAGTCCAGGTGAATAGTTTGTGAGACCCTATCTCAAAAATATCCAACACAAAAAAGGGCTGATGGAGTGGCTCCAGGTTCAAACCCCAGTACCACACACACACACACACACACACACACACACACACACACACACACACACACACACGAGGATTTAGATGGAGGGTGATTACTGACTAAGTTTACACTTCCAGTGAGGTCTATAAGACAAAATTTTTAGAGAAGCATACAGAATAGAACTGAAATGGACAACTTCCCCAAAATAGAGTAAAATAGAGAAGGAAAACATACAAAAGTTAGGAAAAGGAAAGGAAAAGAGAAATCAAAACTGCAGAAGTACTAAATTTGCAAGTTAAAAGGCAGAATTGATCAGATTAGATCTTTTTAAAGGCATCCAGGTGGGTTTTTTTGTTTTGTTGTGTGGTGGTTTTTTTTGGGTGTTTTTGGTGGGACTGGTGTTTAAAAACAGGACTTCACGCTTGCAAAATAGGCTCTCTGCTGCTTGAGCCACTCCTCCAGTCTGGTTATTTTGGAGATGGGACCTTGTGAACTATTTGTTCAGGCTGCTCTCTAACTACGATCCTTTTGACCTCAGTCTCCCAAATAGCTAGGATTATAGGTGTGAGCCACAGTGCCTGGCATCTCTCATAAACAGCATAAAGGCACAAAAAGGAAGAGAAAAAAAAGTGTACACTCATGAATGTACCAAACACCAAACTTAGATGCTAAACAGATTTGTTCACTGGATCTATGTGTGCTTACTTCATCAAGCACACATGAAATGTCTACCAAAATTGACCATGAGCTAGACCAGAAGCAAACCTCAACAAAACCCCAAACTCTACCCCCATACTTGTCCTCTCGCCAAAGTGCAATTAAATTACATGACTAGAGTTAACAAGAAAGTCACATGTGAGCATCTAAGAATTAATGAAAGCTAGATATGATGACTTGCTCCCATAATCCCTCTTTCAGAGGTGGAAATCGGAGAGACTGTAGTTCGAGGCCAGCCCAGGCAAAAAGTTAGAGAGACCCCATCTCAACAAACAAGCTGGGTATGGTGGTTCACATCTGTACAGAATCTCAGCTATGGGGAAGGTGTAAGTAGGAGGACCACGCCAGCAAACATGAGGCCCTAGGTTCAATCCCCAGTACCACGGGGATATTAGTCAAGAAAAAAGAAAGAGAAAAAGGAACACACACACCCACACTCACACACACACCAAATTCTAGAAATGAAAAGTAGACGTAATTGAAATAAAGCAGAAATTAAAACTATGAACTACTATAGATATTTAGATGAAATGTAAAATATACTTGAAAACTCAAGTTAAATTCAGTGTCTATTAAAAATAACTCACACACAGAAGAAATACAGACCTTGAGAAGATGTCAAAGTATTGAATAAATGCACATTTTAAATATATCTACAAAAGGCAAATAAATAAAACCAGGAGTTTTGCTCAAGTATCAGAGCACCTGCCTAGCAAGTGTAAGGTCCTGAGTTCAAGCCCCAGTACCACCAAAAGTGAATAAATAAGTAAGACTATCCACCAAGTCCAGGAAAAAAACCATCCAACAGAAAAGACTCTTTTCCTTAGAGAAACAATAAAGAAGGAAAGTCCAGGGGGGAGATAAAGGATTGAGAGAAAAATCTCACCAGGAAGGGCTGATGGAGTGGCTCAAGTGGCAGAGCGCCTGCCTAGCAAGCATGAGGTCCTGGGTTCAAACCCCAGTACCACCAAAAATTAATTAATTAAGAAAATTAGTTAAAAAGAATCTCACCAGGAAGCTCTAGAGTGAATAACTTGTGAAGCCCAAAAAGCCATTATAGACTTTGCCTCTGAGTCTGGGAGGGGACCATGGAGCCCTCGGAATGTCCTGCCTGACACAAGTGTCTTTATTGTCTTGGGGGTCTTGGGTCACGGTGTGCCTCTAATAACGTGGTTTAGGATGGGGCTCTCTAGAGACCGAGAGCAACCACACAGGCAATCGATCAATCTATCCGTCAACTGAGTCCACCGGTAGAAAGTCAGGACCCTGTAACTCAGGTGAGCTCATGTGGCTGGTGATCCTCAGTGACTGCTCTCACACGTGGACCTGAGGGTCTAGGACCACAGAGGCTGCACACTGGTGTTTCCCAGGACTCCATCCTGGCATCTCTCCCAGACGTGATGATAAGAGCTGATGGAGTGGACAAGCCAAGGGCAGTTTGGGGAACCTACCTGGGCTCATCTCCGAAAGGTCCCATCACAAATCCCACACACCAGGCAGCAGCTTCAACAGCAATTTATTCTCTCTCAGTTTTGGAGGTGGAAGTCCAAAGTCAAGGTGTAAACAGGCTGCCTGCATCTCTACCCCATCTACACAGGGCACTCTCCTGGCATGCAAGCCTCTGTCTAATTTCCTTTGTCATAAAGACACTAGTCACATTGGATTGGAGGCCACACTGATGACCTCATTTTAATTGATTCCATCTGCAAAAAACCTGCTTCCAAACAAGGTCACTGTCGAAGGTACTGGAAGTTAACTTTAGCATAAGAATTTTGGAAAGGAGGCGCTCTAGTTTAGATGTTGAATGTCCCTTCAAGGCCCATATGTTACAGGCTTTAGTACAATAGCTACCCCCCATGGGGCTATTGGGAGCTGGTGGATCCTTTAAGAGGCGGGGCTTAGTGAGAGGTCTTTAGACCATTGGGGGTGTGCCCTCCAACACCTTTTCCTCTTTTCTGCTTCCTGGTTCAGATATAAGATGCTTGCTGTACCAAGTGCTCCTACCACGGTGTGCTGTCCTTCCCAAAGTCCTGACACTGCTGGATCTTTGTGAGCCAGACACAGAAGGCCACACTCTGCAGGATGCCACTCATAGGAGGTCCCTAGAGTCGCAGAGCCACAGAGCCAGGAAGCAGGATGGTTGTGCTGGACACTGGGAAGAGAGGGAGTTAGTGTTGATGGGGACAGAGCTTCATCTTGGGGAGATGAAAGGTTCTGGAGATGGACAGTGGGGATGGCAGTGCAGCCATGAGGGTGTGTTCAATGCTACTGAACCATGCACTTAAAAATGACCAAGATAGCTGGGTGCTGATGGCTCACGCCTATAATCCTAGCTACTCAGGAGACTATGATCAGGAGGATTGAGGTTCAAAGCCAGCCCAGGCAAACAGTTTGCAAGACACTATCTCTGGAAAACCCTTCACAAAAAGTGCTGGTGGAGTGGCTCAAGGTGTAGGCCCTGAGTTCAAACCCCAGTCCCACAAAAAAAAAAAAGTGGCTAAGATAAATTTTATGTTCTGTGTATATTACTACAATGAAAAAGAATTAGGACATACAGAGAGAGGGACTGACATGTGCCAGAGACTGAAATGTGAGGAGAGAGAGCTGGCAGGAGGTCACTCTGAAGCCGAAAAGCCACACAGCCGACAGCTAGCTGTGGGGACACTCTTGGATTGCTTCCATCCAGAAATATCTAGAACATGGGACGCCAGCAGCAGGTATCTATAACCAAGCAAGGAGGGTCGGTAGAAGCCAGCTGAGGTGCCTGCTGTCCACCCCAGGCGACCCTGCTCCTCCTGGCCAGACACACGCCAGTGCCTTGCTGCCCCCACATGACCCAGCCTGGCCCCAAGGAGGGCAGGGAAATCCCATCCTGGCTGGCAGGCCTGGCTGATAGGAGACACAAATCAGGTTGAAAATCTTCCTTTGAACCAAGCAAAGCTCAGAGAGAGCCAAGTTCATCTGCTAGCCTCCCTCCTGGGTCCTTCCCTGGAAGTGGCTTTGTGCTGGCCCCCAAGGATGTCCATTCCAAATTCCCCAGAACCTGTGAATATGTCACTTCACATGGCAAGAACTCTGCAGATGAGATCAAGCGAAGGACCCTGAGCTGGGATCATCCTGGAGCATCCCAGGCCCAGGGAGGCAGGTCAGAGGCAGAGGCTGGGAGACGCTGTGCTGCTCTGAGGAGGGAGGAAGGGGCTACGAGCCGAGGGATGGGGGGCCTCTAAGAGCCGGGACAGAGGGCCACGGATCCTCCTTGGATTGGCTGATAGTCCAGCGGGGCCCACCGTCTTACAGCAGCGACAAGGAGCTGATGCGTTCTTTGTGGGCATCGCTACTCCACGTCCAGCTAGGAGGCAGAGTGGAGCGGTAGATCCCGGCACTTGCAAATGCCCAGCAAATGGCATCTGCCCTTTCCCTACCGAAATATCTGGGCAAGTGGAAGGGCTGTAGACGGTCACATCCTCATGCAAAGTGCCGAGCAAGGAATTTAACCTCTCCAGGCCTGTTTTTCCAGATTGGTGATCAGCTTGGTCCCTCTAGTTTTAATTTTTTATGGGATGTGGAGTGATAAAGTCAGTTTTTGTCTGTCTGGCATCCCTTTCTTTTGAGGAAGGTCCTCGCCACTCCCAGCTATATTGATGGGATGGCCAATCATCTGCCACACCCACCTGGCCACCAGGCCTATCAATCACAGGCTTCACCTCCCTTCCCATCAGTGATTGGCTCACACTAGAAACCGGCCTGCCAATCACAGTAACTTCCCTCTTTCCCCATCAATGATTGGTTCACACTAAATACAGATCTGCCAATCACAATAATCATTCCTCCCTCCCCATCAGTGATTGGTTCACACTAGACACAGACCTGTCAATCACAATACCCTTCTTCCCTCTCCTTAAGAGATCAATCCACGCTGCATACAGGCCTGCCAATCACAGTAGCCGCTCCTCTCTCCCCATCAGGGATTGGCCCACCAGAGAACAAATACTGTGACTCCCCCGATAGAAACGGCCACAACCGGCAAATCCAGAGAGACAGGAAGCGGGTTGTGGGTGTAGGGCTGGGGAGAGGCTGTGGCGACTGCTCATGGGGACAAGGCTTCGCTTTGGGAAGATGAGAAAGTTCTGGAGAGGGACGAGGGGGACACCTGTACAATGATGTGCATGTGCTCCATGTCCCTTAGAAATGGCTAAAGTGCTATAAAAAAAAATAAGCGAAATCAGCAAGGAATGGATAGGGAAGAATTTGTGCCGCTCCTCGTCACCATGAACAAGGATTCTGTCACCAATGCGGTAACTTGAGTAGAAGACAGAAAGGCCACGGAGACAACAG